TGGAATACATTTTGGTTTGTTTTGAAAAAGAGTCTTGTACTTTGGATTGAAAACAAATGAATAGGCTGAATTTTAAGGATTTGGCTTTCATTGAACTGCATACTGCAAATATAATTTTTCTCGGCGATTATATAATGATGGTTCGTTTGCTTCCAAGTGAAGACCTGAAGATGGTGTGGTTTTAAACGCCCCAATTGCAAGATTCAGACCCGGGTGATGTAGAGTTTCAAGAAGTTTTAGATACGACTTTCTTGCGGATTCATAAATAATGGATTAATAGTCCAATTTAGGTCTATAGAGTCTTAGTAGTACCTTCCTATCAGCCCCCCTTTCAGTATGACAGACGTTCTTTAAGATGTCAAATGCTTTCATGCATTTTGCTTTAAGATATTTGATGTGAGGAATGAACGACAATTTTCAATCAAATAGTACGCCTAGGAATTTAGTTTGGTCACCTCCGTCGTCCGTCCGTCAACTTTTCCTTTAAAACAATACTAGTCCTGAACGGCTTATTGGGTTTTAACTAAATTTGGTTTGGAGCATCCTTGGGCCAAGGGCTCTCTCAATTTTGTATGAACGATGGGTGTGGCCTCCCTGGGGGCACAGTAGCGGGGCCCAATAGGGAAAATAGAGGTAAAACCTTTAAAATCCTTCTTCTACCGTAGGGATTAAGGACTTTTATCCTAATTTAGCATGGAACATCCTTGGGCCAAGGGGACTCAATTTTGCATAACCGTGGGTGTGGCTCCCCTGGGGTCAGAGGAGTGTGGCCGAATCCGAGAAATGAGGTAAAACATCTTAAATTCTTCTTCTACCGTAGGGATCTAGGGATTTTATCCTAATTTTGCTTGGAGCATCATTAGGTCAAGGGGACTCAATTTTGTATAAACTGTGGTTTTGGCCCCCCTAAGTGCAGAGAAGTGGGGCCAAATAGGGAAAATAGAGTTAAAACCTTTAGAATCCTTCTACTGTAGGGATTAAGGGATGTTATCCTCATTTAGTCTGGAGCATTCTTGGGTCAACGGGACTCAATTTTGTATAAAAGGGGGGGGGGGGGTGTGCCCCTGAGGCAGATGGGGCAGGGCTTTATAGGGGGAAATAGAGGTAAAACCTTTAAAATCCTTCTTCTACCATAGGCATTAAGGGATTGTATCCCAATTTGTACTTGAGCATCATTAGGCCAAGACTTTGTATAAACAGTGAGTGTGGCCCCCTCTGGAGGCAGAGGGACAGGGCCAAATAGGAGAAACATAGCAAATTCTTCAAATCCTTCTGTCGGAATGACATGATTTTGTCCAAATTTGGTATAATGAAGCACCCTTGGATGAAGTGGAAGCAACTTGAATAAATGTTGGGTTTGCCCCCCCCCCCCCCAACCCCCTGGGACCTGAGGGTGGGGCCCAATGGGGTTATTTAACAAATTCTTTTATTTATTTATTTTTCTGTAGGAATGACAGGGTTTTATCCATATTTGGTCTGAAGTATCCTTGGGGGAAGGAGACTCAATTTTGTATAAACGATTGTCCTGAACCCACTGGGGGCAGAGGGGTGGAGCCAAATATGGGAAACAAAGCTAGTCCTTCTAAATCCTTCTTCTGTAGGAATGAAGGGATTTTGTTTAAATTTGGTATGAAGCACCCTTAGGAAAAGGGAAACCAATTTATTATAAATGGTGGGTCTGGCGAGGCCAAATAGAGATGTAGAGGAATAGCTTTAATATCCTTCTTCTTCCGTTGGGATGAAGATATTTGACCAAATTTTAACAGTAGCATCCTATGGGGAGGGGAAATTAATATTGTATAAATGGTGGGTCTGACCCCCTTGGAGGCAGAGAGGCGGGGCCAAAATCCTTCTTTTTCTGTAGGAATGACAGGATTTTGCCCAATTGCATAAAAATATAACCCTTGACTAACCATGTAATACACTACCAGTAACATCTGGCTATTTCAACATCAATTTTGCTAACATTTCCAGGTGAGCGATACATGCCCTCTGGGCCTCTAACAGGAATTTCTCCTGTTTCCAGTGAACAGTTAAATATTTCCCATAAAGGGGCCTTTAATATGTCCGCTGTTTCTTTCAATACTTTTGAGTGAATATTATCTGCTCAAGGTGGTTTTGCGGAATTCAATGCTTGTTTAAATGTTAAATACTTCTAGCTCTGATATTTAAGTATTAATGAATAGACTCCATGATAAGATCTTTCAGTACAGGCATACAACCTTGTGGTTCGACATTGAAAACATTTGAGAAATAGTCTGCTAATGCTTTAGCCTTATCTTGATCAGTTTGAGCGATTGCAGTTTCGCTTCGTTATACTAGGTGTTCGATTGTCTGGTTATAATAGATGTCCGATTGCTGGTTATACTAGGTGTCTGGTTATACTAGGTGTCTGGTTATACTAGGTATATCATGGCCTGGTTATACTAGGTGTCTGTTATACTAGGTACATGTATATGATGGCCTGGTTATACTAGGTGTCTGGTAATACTAGGTGTTTGATGGCCTGGTTATACTAGGTGTCTGGTTATACTAGGTGTCTGATGGCCTGGTTATACTAGGTCTGGTATACTAGGTGTCTGATGACCTGGTTATACTAGGTGTCTGGTTATACTAGGTGTCTGATGGCCTGGTTATACTAGGTGTCTGATTGCCTGGTTAAACTAGGTGTCTGGTTATACTAGGTGTTTGGTATACTAAGTGTATGGTTATACTAGGTGTCTGATGGCCTGGTTATACAATGTACTAGGTGTCTGATGGCCTGGTTATATACTAGGTGTTTGATGGCCTGGTTATACTAGGTGTCTGGTTATACTAGGTGTATGATGGCCTGTTATACTAGGTGTCTGGTTATACTAGGTGTCTGATGGCCTGGTTATACTAGGTATTTGGTTATGCTTGGTGTATGATGGCCTGGATATACTAGGTGTCTGGTTATATTAGGTGTCTGATTGTCTTGTTACACTAGATGTCTGGTTTTACTAAGTGTATGATTGTTTGGTTATAGTAGGTGTCTGATTGCCTGGTTATAGTAGGTGTCTGATTGCCTGGTAAAACTAGGTGTCGTAGTGTCTGGTTATACTAGGTGTCTGAGTGTCTGATTATACTAGGTGTCTGATTTCCTGGTTTTACTAGGTGTCTGATTGTCTGGTTATACTAGGTGTCTGATTGCCCGATTATACTAGGTGTCTGATTGTCTGGTTATGCTAGGTGTCTGATTGTCTGGTTATACTAGGTGTCTGATTGCCTGATTATACTAGGTGTCTGATTGTCTGGTTATGCTAAGTGTATGATTGTCTGGTTATAGTAGGTGTCTGATTGCCTGGTAAAACTAGGTGTCGTATTGTCTGGTTATACTAGGTGTCTGGGTGTCTGATTATACTAGGTGTCTGATTGTCTGGTTATGCTAGGTGTCTGATTTCCTGGTTTTACTAGGTGTCTGATTGCCTGGTTATATTAGGTGTCTGAGTGTCTGATTATACTAGGTGTCTGATTTCCTGGTTTTACTAGGTGTCTGATTGTCTGGTTATACTAGGTGTCTGATTGCCTGGTTATATTAGGTTTATGATTGCCTGGTTAGCTCACTGGGTCCGAAGGACCAATGTGACCCTTTTCAATACCGTGGCGTCCGTCTGTACCTCAATAATTTCTTCAAACGACTTATCCTTTTTAACCACTGATTGGAATTTAAGTAAATTTGACTGGAAGCATTCTTAGGTGGTGGGGATTCAAAATTGTACAAATAGTGCGACTAACCCCCAAGGGCTGGGCCAAAAGGGGGCAATTTTACTATATTGCTATACACGACTCTTGTGGAACTATGTCATGGATATCAATCTTATTTGGTCAGAAGCATGTATTGAAGGAATGGATTAAAAAGTGTATAAATGTTGGGGATGACCCCAAAGGGGGCTGAGGGGCGGGGTCGAAAAGGGTTATTTGCCTTATTGCTTGAGTGACTTCTTCTCTGTAACTAAAAGATATATATACCATATTTTACCGGCAGCATCCCTAGGCGGTTGGGTTTCAAAATTGTACAAATGGTGGGGTTGACTCCCCAGGGGGCTGAAAGGAGGTGCCAAAAGCGGACAATTTGGCTATATTGCTATAAACGACTTCTTCTCTAGAACTATGCCATGGATATCAATCATATTTAGTCGAAAGCATTCATGGGATGCAGGGATTCAAAATTGTTGGAAATTGTTGAGATCCCCACCTTATAACCATAAATACAATTGCTGGGTATAAAGAGATGAATGCACATACGCTTCCAGGTTGGCCTTGGGGTTTGCCCCACCCTTGGAGACTTAACCATTGGGTCATAACTTTGAAACGGTTGAGATCCCCACCTAAAATTATAAATACAAATGCTGGGCATAAAGAGACGAATGCAGTCATGATATTAGAATTGATCCTGGGGTCTGGCCACAACCCTATGGACCTAGTTTCTGAGTCACAGCTTGAAAACAGTTGAGATCCCCACCCCATAACCATACATAAAATTGCTGTGCATGGAAAATCTAATAAGATATACTACAAGGATTGGCCTTGGGGTGTGACATATTCCCTTGGATCTCATTTGGAGAATATTTTGCCATGATTGCAAGATATCCAGGTGAGCGATACAGGCCCTCTGGGCCGCTTGGTATACTAGGTGTATGATTGTCTGGCTATACTAGGTGTCTGATTGCCTTGTTATAGCTCACCTGGCTTGAAGGACCAAGGTGAGCTTATGCCACACCATGGTGTCCGTCGTCCGTCCGTACGTCAACAATTTCTTCACACGACTTCTTCTTCTTCACCACTGAACGAGATTTAACTTAATATGACTGAAAGCATTCCTAGGTGGTAGGGATTCAAAAATGTACCAATGGTGGGGCTTACCCCCTAGGGTGCTCAGTGTCGGGGCCACAAGTGGTATAAATGACTTCTTCTCTGGAATTAAGCAATGGATATCAACCAATGCTTAAAAATATACCAACAAAAATGTCAATACTTGCCCCTGTTTCCTTTTTGTTTTGCAGAATATTGAGCAGGTCAACATCAATTCGGTCCCCCTTTGCAGTGTTGTCGAATCCAGATGTATCACAAATTGTGAATGGCAAATCTGCTATTTTCAAATGTGAGTCCTTTATATGTTAAAAAATAGAAATAAAAAAATGACGTTAAAATAAAAATACGTAATAAAAATTCATTAATGAAATTGTAAATTACTACTCTTCCCACAGATTTGGAGAACGGTATTCACTTAGAAATTTTGTTTTAATTCCGAATAAATAGGGGAAATAATCTGTTAAGTACCAGGTCTTTGAAGGCTATTTCATTAATAAATTTTAATAATTATCAAATAATCTCGGCCATACTTAAGGATTATTCTTTTCAAAATGAACCAAAAAACTTGTTTCACAAACATTAAAATGAACACTTCAAAAACCTCCATTAAATTCCAACTCTGAGGGTATCTTATATGTGTATAGTAAAGTACTATCCCTTCAAAACAAATTTGCTTTAGATGGCAATATTACATTTTTCATATCATATGTACACTAAAATAATAATAGCTTTAACTTCAAACTTATCGTAAAAGGTGTGACAATAGTGCATTGTATCTAAGTTCAAAGTTCTTCAAAACCCTTGGTTACTTTGGTTTTCTACTCGTGTTCTGCTGCTCGACTTTGCTACTGTCCTTTCATTGTATTCATGATATTCCGTAAAAAGACATCGAAGGTAGGAATACATACGTCATCGTTATATCACAACAAATAAAAGTTACATTCATTTTTCAAATACATGTTTTACCCTTTCCCCTTTTAAGGCATCATCCTTTTATATTAAAACATTTAAACATACTTGACCCCTGTGACCTTGAAAGTCTAACAAGGTCATTAAGTTAAATAGACTTTACAGCACTTTTTGTCAGCATGAAACTTGCTAAATACCACCCTCCCTAAATCTTTAGTTTATTGAGATAAGGGTTTACACACATTTGGTCATATGTGACCTTGATATTAAAGTGGGTCAAGATCATCTAAATTTACAAACCTGATAGCTCACATCTTACCATGCTACTGGCAGAATGTAACCACCCTATGCTGTTTGGTTATTCAAAGGATTTTTTTTGAAAGATTTCAACATATTTGACCCCTATGACCTTATTATCTGAACATGTTACTGGCTGAATATCATTATCCTGGGCTTTTTGGTTATTCAGAAGAAATGAAGTGAGATTGAGTATATACCAAGTCGTTGAATATAAGTCAAGGTCATCCTTTTAACAAACAGTGTAGCCCTTTGTTCTAGCGTATATAAAAAAAAACAAACGAAATTTGGTCAGTAGCATGCTGGCATAAAGTGCTATCAAGTTTGTTCGAATGAATATGTCAAAGACTTCAAGACTTCTCCTAGTAAAACAAATGGCTAGGGTGATGATATTTAGCCAGAAGCATGCTGAGAAGACAGAAAAGGTTGTTCAAAAGAATGACCTTGAATTATGTTGAAGGTCATACAGGTAAAATATGTTAAACATTAAACGATTTCTTCTGAATAACCAAAATGCTAAGGATGGCGAAATGTGACCACTAGCATGCTCAGATGAAGAGCTATCAAATGTGTGCATCTAAATGTCATTGACATTTGAAGGTCACATCTTGTCAAGTGTGTATACATCTTTAAAAGCCATCTTCTCAATAAACAAAAGGTATTTGGCAAGTTGCATTCAATAATAAAGGGCTATACAATTTGTTCAACTGTATGTCCTTGTTTAAATCACAAGGTCACAGTGGTCAAATGTGTTTAAATTTTTCAACGGGTTCTTTTGATTGACTTTGAGTCAAGACACTGATAATTTGCCTGTAGTTTTTTTAGTCCACTTTTAAGATTACAGTTGTATGCGACAGTTGTTCCGTTTCAACAAGTTTGGCATCGTCCAAATCGATTTTTGGTGTCAGCGTGATCTGTTTTTGCCGATTTATTGTAGTGGATAACGGATGTTTTGCTAGCGTAATGAGTGTTCATGATTCTCTCAGCGTCCTTTTCATGTTCTTTCAGACGTTTACCAAATTGCATTGTCTCTCAATTTCGCCCATATATGACTGATAAAAAAATTGCACGTATGGGACGTATGGGATTTAGACCAAGCTTTTGTATTTAGTTTGGTTCTCATCTTTTTCTTTTGTTTAGGTTTTGCTTAGTTAAAAAAATATCATCGTTTCTCTAAAATAAAACGTTTTCTGACACCACTTTTCAGATATACAATGAAGGATGTACTTGACCTTCATCAGATATGAAATCAAGCACTATTAGAGTAGCAGCTGTGTTAAAATCCCAGATCCTCCTCCCTGCAACGTCCACCTTAGTCTATATAGCATTGTTATCGGTCGTTACTACGATTTAGGAGAGGGAGCAAATGATCGACTTTCCAAAATTTCCAATTAAAATACTCATGAATAGCTTTGATAATGACACAGGAAAATGAGAGTTAGAGTGATCTTAATGTTAGTAATGATGGGCATGGCTTTTTTTTGTGTTTAGTTGAATGTATGTGTTCTTTTAGTTCTTTTTTTTATATCCTTCTTGTACTTTCTTTAAATTGCATTTTCCTTCTGTATTTTCCAAAACACAGCACGTGTGTTCATTAAGCTGTCATTTTGACAGTTAAACGTGGCGATTTCGATATTCTGATCGTGTTCCCCTAAAAGCTGAGCGTTAAGTAGGGAATAACAAGAACCATTTTTACGGACTTCGGTATGCCCTGGCCCTGGGACAGAACCCATTGCTTTCAACGTCAAAGCCAAACGTGAGGTATTGCCAAGCGAGGAGCTAAGAAAAAAAAGGTAGTTAGAAGGAAAAGAAATATACAGATCCCAAATATTGCAATGGCTGCAGCAGATTTATTTTGGTCGCTTTTGGTTTCCCCTTAACTGTTTTGACGTATGGATGACAGAGAAGTGATGAAGGGAAAGAAAATTGGAATATTATAGCGTACTAGTCTATGCTGGATTTTTTTGCGGAATACTCTTTAATGAAAATCAGTATTTATCTATGTATATGGGATAAACTATTTGTTAATGTAGAAAGTCATATCTGCGTTACAATCTTGATTGCATTCGTACCAACTAGAGAAGTTTCATGTGTTAGTGGGTATGCCATAGTAAGTGTTAAAGGATTTTGTGCCACGATTTTTCAGATTTTGTAACAATAAGCAAAACCTGTAATATACGTAAATAAATACGAAATAATCCATCAGCGCGCGTTGAGAAGTATCCCGTTTCTTAGATATAGGTAATCAAATAAATTAAATGCTTTATTTCATAGATAAGATATGTATGTGCGTAACCTGTGAATTAGATTTCCGTGATTCAGGCTTGAATGTGTAATTAGCAGATAATATATATGTCTTAATTTGTCGATTGATTATTTTACCCATACAACATATATTGGTTGTTGTCTTTCCTTGCACTGTTTTTCAGATAATATCTAAATATTTTAAGTGCATGTTAGAATTGTTACACGTAATGAACAGGATATCGTAGAAGTCGTGCTACTGCGACGTCACATATCACGTGACCTCGTACCGAGTCCAAAAATGCATAATCACTAGGCTGATATTGATGGAGCGTTACCTGGCCTGTCTATCATCAGAGTACCGAGAGAGACGGGGTTGGTCACTACACGTATCATTGCATCAAATGACCGTAAAATAAAAATGTATGAAATTATGAAAAATCGTTGCCAAAATTTGTTAAAGGCGATACGGATAACCAGGAATAACCTCATATATAGCAGAGCTTATTTCGTACAATACATAAATATGATGAACAAGTATCTGAAAACAATAAGCGAAAACATACTAATACCTTTGTCGTTTTGGACTGGTCTGTGCTTCCCTGAGGTGTAATCTCGGATAATTCCCCTGTGACAGCGGTTTTCAAAGAATTTATGAAACTTGATTTTCCAGAATTTGTGTGTCCATAGAGAAGAATTCTAAAATTTTCCTTCGCAATCTCTTTAACTTCCTTCAATAGTTCATCTTTCTGAAATATATGTTCTTAATTCATACTTGGTATATCTTTTGTATAATTTATGTGATAATATCAAAAGGAAAGTTCGATGACACAGTTTTCCCCTTCATTATCGTTGGTTAATGCTGACACTTTGTTTCTTTTTATAGAAACAGTGGTTAATATTCCATTTATGACTCAGAAGCATTGGGTTTTATTTCAGTGCATCGTTTGTGCATCGTTTTGTTACGTTTTGTAGCCTTTGTTTTAATGATTGAATTGTGCGAATTTCCGATCGTATGAGAAGTCAATTTTACAGAGCCAAAAAGTAAACGAATGCAGTTGGAGTAACAAATTAAAAGACATTTCAATAGCGAAAGTCTACAATTTTATCTTTGATAAAGTGTCATCAATGTCAAAAGCCTTGTTGAGTTATTCACAAAAAATTGAAAATTGAAATGTTTTATTTTCTGTTTCATCACTGTCTCTGTTTCTCTGAGTGTACTCGACAAGTGTGAATTTAACCAAAACGAGAAGCAGCGTACATGTACATCAAGAAGCTACATGACTCTGACACGTGAATATCGTCACTCTACTTTACGGCAATAAGGCCTTGCTTGATTGTGTTTCCCTATTTGGTATTCCTAGTGAACTACCATTGCGGTGGCACCTTTGAGACCCCCTTCCCCAGTGCATTTGAATAACATCGCTTGACACAAATATTGATTTACCAAATTTCAACAAAAAGATATTGTCAGCAAGTTATTGGTACTGGTGAAAACATCACTTGATCGGGTAGAATTATATAATATCAATATATCAATTAGTGCAGACAATTATTTGGTGTTTACTTGTACAGACAATATATGTTTGTGAATTTGTCTCTGATTGTTAATCATAAACACCTATTGAATAAATCAATTCATTTTGGTGTTAATATCACCCATTGTATGTAGGGGGGGGGGAGGGGAGGGGATACAAATCATAGATGCATGTAGCTAGGGAGGGGTAGGTTTATGATATATGTTTGTGTGGGATGTAGGTTTACATATGCCTGAAATTGTGCCATTAAAAAACGTACCAAAAACAAAAAGAATAATAAGATATCATGACAATCATAAAAGTATCCCAAAGTTATGAAAGTGTATTAAGTATGAATAGATGAAACATATGTGATTCTCAATAAAATGGATCGGGTTTCTTGGAAGATATTTAAAAAAGAGGGGAATTACCTGTCCTTTGTTTTTCCAGTCTATCTTTTTGCAAAATGGAACCACGTCTGGAAATGAAGACATTATTACATTTAGATATAATTCAATATTCTATATTTGATATAAATATTTCATTTTCTTCAAAGCATAATTTTATATCATAATGAAGTTCACAAAATTATTGACGACGTTGATCTAGATACTAGTTAGACATCGGGTCGTGTCGTAATCACAATTCCAGATTCTATTTTTACTCTTACCCTCACAAGATTGAGAAGGAATATACGTGTAAGTCTTCTCTCTTTTTTTATCACAACCAATCCATTAGGTTTCCCAGCATAACTGGAGATGGAGACTAATCAGTTTGTGTCAAAAGTCAGCAAGAAATTCCAGTATGGGGGAAGAAATCCACTAAAACAACATGTTCTAACCATGCATAAGATCAAACGTGGAGAAACAGGTGGAGGAAAACCCAGAATTCCACGGTAAGGGTAAGCTGAGAAATGCTGTTCGGTTAAGAATACCCAGTTTAATCAGGTGTGTCACCCGTATGCGGTCTAGATTTGCAGATAAACATACAGGTGCCAATCTACTGGCACATGATATCCGTAACATCTTTAGTCATGTGTTTTGAGACCACACTAAATATTCCACAGAATTCCGCACGGCAAAGCGGTCAGCAACATCAGAAGCCCCACACACTGAGTATGCCTGAATGAAGGAGCATCATTATTGGCACAGTTAGAGTCCCGGTAGGAAGGGTATCATAACAGTACGGTTTCACTGGATTTCAATATGTTGGAAAGAATCTTTAAACTACTAGACAGGTATGCTGGAAAATGTAGCCACCACCAACCTTGCTGAAAATTGGCTGACTATCTGTTTGTAATATGATGGAGGCAAAATTTATAATATGGAATACTAGCTGTTATGCTGCAGCACTCCACTACAATCTTGGGCCTGCCTGGAGTATAAGAATATGGGAATGTGATACTGGAACTGAAGCCGGTTAGCTGTTTTCAACAATGTACAGGAAACAGAAGCAGCGACTAATGACAAACTATGTCTCAAACTGCAAACAAGCTTCCAAAGCCAGACGATGGAAGGAAAACGTAAGTGCCGTGCAAGAGTGCATGACAAAAAAGGCAAGGATGGCTAATGGACCTGAGACATTAGGGGGAATAGAGGTAAAACCTTTGAAATCCTACTTCTACAATAGAGATTAAGGAATGTCATCCCTATTTGGTCTGGATCTATATAAACAGTGAATGTGCCCCCCCCCCCCCTTTTTCCTACCATAGGGATCAAGGGATTTCATCAAAATTTGGTGTGGAGCATCCTTAGGCCAGGGGGGCTTCATTTAGTAAAAACGGTGGGTGTGGCCCGTTTTTGGGTTAGAGAGGTTGGGCCCAAAAAGGGAAACAGAGGTTATACCTTAAAAATTCTTTTCATACGTAGGAAAAAAGAGATTTTATCTAATGTAGTCTGGCGCATCCTGGGGCCAATGAGACTCAATTTTGCAGAAAACGGTGGGTGAGGTTCCCCCTTGAGTCACAGAGTCGAGGCCTGATATGAAAATAGAGGAAATACCTTATACATCATTCTCCTACCATAGGAATTAAAGAATTTCATCCCAATTTAGTCTGGAGCATCGTTGGAACAAGGGCTCTCAATTTTGTATTAACGATGGTTGTGGCTCCCCTGGGGGCAGATATGTTGGGCAAAATAGGGGGAATAGAGATGAATCCTTCAAAATTCTTCTTCTACCATAGGGATTAGATGATTTTATCCTTATTTTTGTCTGGATTTCTTTGGGCCAAGGAGACTTAATTTGTATAAACAAAAGGTGGGCCCAATCTGGGGGCAGAGGAGCGGGGCCCAATAAGTGAAAAAGAGGTAATACCTTCGAAATCCTTCTTCTACCGTAGTGATTTACAGTTTCATTCCAATTTGATCTGGATCATCCTTTGGCAAAGGACACTCAATTTTGTATTTACGATATGTGTGGCCCTCCTTGGGCAGAAGGGTGAGGCAGAATAGGGGAAATAGAGGTAAAACCTTTGAAATCCTACTTCTACAATAGAAATCATAGAGACCTTTCCGCGGAAGAGCTAGGCCGCCCTGAATAGAAGAAATATAGGTAAATCATTTAAATCTTTTCCCTACCATAGGGATAACGGGATTTCATCCACATTTGGTCTGGAACATCCTTGGGCAATCCTTAGGTAGTCTGGCGCATCCTTAAACCAATGGGACTATTTTCGTAAAAAACGGTGATTGTGGTCCCCCTTTGGTTAGAGAGGCGGGTCCGAATAGGGGAAATAGAGGAAATAGCTTTTAGACAAGTGCTCTAAATTTTATATAAATGGTGGTTGGGCCAAATACGGGAAATAGAGATAAAATCCTTCTTCTATCGTAGGGATTAAGTGATTTTTTATCCTTATTTAGTCTGGAGTACCTTGGGCCAAGGAGACTCATTTTTGTATACACAGAAGATTTGGCCCTATTTGGGGACAGAGGAGCGGGGCCCAATAAGGAAAATAGAGGTAATACCTTTGACTTCGAAATCCTTCACCTACCATAGGGACTTACTGTTTCATCCTAATTTGGTCTGGAGCATCGTTTGGCAAAGGGCACTTAATTTTGTTTAAACGATGGGTGTTGCCCTTTTTGAGCAGGGGTTATAGGAGGAAAAGGGTTTGTTTGGTTTGGTTTGGTATTGTTTAACGTCTTATCAATAGCTATGGTCATTTAAGGACGGCCCCCTGTGTGCAAGATGTGTGGGTGTAGTGTATGCGTGTGTGTTTTGGGAGGCTACGATATGTTCGTGTTTGTCTCCTGGTGATAGCGCGGAACTGTTGTCGACTTTATAGTGCTACCTCACTGAATCATACTGCCGAAGACACTGAGCAGGACAACCACCCGGTCACATTATACTGACAACGGGCGAACCAGTCGTCAGTTAAGCAGGAGTAGAAACTACCATTTTACAGATTCCGGTATGGCTTGGAAAGGGGACTGAACCCAAAGCATTCCTCACAGGGGCGAACGCTCAACTAAAGGCCAAAAGTGAGGCATTGTCAAGAGAGACATTAGGAAGAAGAAAGTTGTTCAGAAAGAGGATAAAAGATAAGATCTTAAATTAAGTCGCTCTTTCGATCATGCAATGGGGGCAGCAGGTACAATTATTACGCTCTGAGCTGCTTGTTTAAAACATTGGGAGCAAAAAGTGTCCTGATGCACCTTAAAATATCATTTATCTAATTCTTTTAAACATGCTGTGTAGATTAATCGCGATATTTTATATAGTGAGCTATCTAAAGAGACCTTTGTGTTTCAGTACATGTGTATGTGACATGCCAGTCTGCAATTAAGACTTGTTACCGTTTTTTGGATACAGAGGTATCATAAGCTAAGAATAAGAAATGACTAAGCTAAGAGGAAAGGAAGGTTGTGACTCTATCTTACTCTTGTATCCAGACTGTGTATGTATACTCTGGTTACCGGAGGTGGTGCCTACGTGATATATGTTTTGTGTGCAGTGATGGACTGGTGATATTGTGCTAAGAAGGCTTAGACATGGTTGACACACTCTAAGGTAGATATATGCCCAATAGTGTAGATTGAATAGCAAGGACATTACATGCATAGATGAATAGTTTCTCATTGATATGATGTACCATTGCTTGTTTTCTGTATAAAAACAGTTAGTCAATTGTGTGAAAGTGAGAGTAGATATGATATACTTTTGTTTTAAAGATATGTTGTAGTTAAATATTGAAAATAATGCAAGTTTAGGGAGCTGTCACTGCTGAAGGGCTTGCCTGAGGTACACTCATGAAAAATAGGTGTTTAAAGGAGACCAGTTTTGGAGTCCAAGAAGAACTGGGAGTACAGACGTGTTAAGGGCTATGTCTTCGATTTTTGTAGCTGCGGATTGTTAGCTATGTGATCCTCTCAGGTGTTGTCCTGGCTATGAAGGGAACCTTGTAATATAATGTACGAACTGCAAATAAACATTTAATTAGAACTTTGATGTTTGATTGTGTTTAGGTCATGTACGGACGTTCCACCATGTAATGTGCCAGAGGCAGGGTGTGTTGGTGAATTTTCCACCTTGTGATAGCGCGGGTCTGATTCCGACTTGTATAGTTATTTCTATGAAATACCATGCCCCCGAGGGCACCCAGCACAGCATTTCGTCTGGTCACATTATACTGACAACAGGTGAACCAATTATAGGGAGTAACAAGTACCATTTTAAACATCTTTGGTATGTCCCGGCCTGAGGACAAGACCGATTGCCTTCCTCACCTGGGAGATCGCTCAACATTAAAGCCAAATTTGAGGTATTGCCAAGAAAGGCGCTGTGAAATAAATGATAGATAGAGGGAAGAAGATTGATATGCCAAATGTTGCAATGGGTGCAGCAGATTTATTTGTGTTGCTTTTGTATAGCCAAGTAGAGATAATCCCAAATGTTTTCCGTCTCTCATGTGTTTCTTTTCCAGAACCCAGTGTGTGCGTTTCGTCCAAACAATGACCTCGATTGAACCCAGGGAATTTGTTGAGGAAGAGAGCGCTCGATCACTTAACATCAACAAATGGAAAAAAAGTATTGACGAAACTTGCTGACATATTTTCGAAAGACATGAGTTTAAGGAAAAAGAGAATGCGTGATCCTGCTATAGTTTTAGGGAATTGCCTGCAGAAGGAATGCATCATATTTCATGTATTTGCATATTAAAAGTCAGACAGTTAAGAGCTTTTGGAATGACAGTGACAACACAGTTATAGACTACCATAAGTAGTTTTATATCTACAACATTTAGTACTGTATATGCAAGTAACTGCAATCTTATAACTAGCCGTACATACATTAATTAGTGTAGTAAAGTGTGGGGCAGACACATCGGATATTTATTTAATCATCATCATCTGTCATATATCGATATATACAAGATATCAACTGATAAGAATGCATGCAGTACCGTTGGGAGACCCAAACTAAACTTCAGGATTAATGTTTTAATAGCAATAGAGGTTATATCTAAAAGTGGCCATGAACCAACTATTTCTACAATAACGACTAAAACAAGTACTAACTGTAATTACAGAAGTCCTCCAAAATGCCCCCACAGTCGCAAAGATGCACCAGAAAAAGATCGCAATGGCATAATACACCAACAATATACATACTAAATTTGACCATCAAACAAATTCCAAATTACGACCAATCTGAAGCCTTTGTGTGGATTCTATAACGTAACCTATGTGGTTGTATCGCAGTACCCTTATACCCCTATACAAAATATAAACTTTATTTATTTTACAACAATAATGGAACAAGTTATTTCAACTTACATTAATCACTCTTGTTGGAGCATCCGTGTGCTTGCTATGTGGTTGCTATTGCAACGAAACGTATGCGGTTGAATTTGCAGTCCCCTAATACCCCTATATACTAATTTTCATCAAAATCGAAACATATCTAATCTTCGACCAATCGGAAGCCTCCATGCCGTGTGGTTGCTATGGCAACGATCTGAACATAAAGACTTGAATGCACAACTACATATGCCCATTATTAATCATGTGAAGCTATGCCTTTCGGTTTCCGAGAAAATGGTCGGACAAGTTCACGGCGGAAGAATAAGAAGGAACTCTGTTTGAGGGCCATAACAAGCAAAGAACGAAAGTTGTAAGTGGTGAAACTGTACTTGTCCAACGGTGATGATCAGTTATCTCACTTTATCTGAAATATTGTCCCTCTGCTGTTGCATCTAGTACCAAACAAATGGCCTACATAAAGTAGTGTATATTGGGTATCGTATTTCTTCGGAATCGACGGTAGTTCTAAAGGAATAAGGAGTGCGGAAGAAATAGGCTCATTCGATCTGTCGGCCAGCTAGCTCTATTAAACGATGGCCGCCGATAACGGCTGTAACATTTTATATCTAATATGTATATGACTTGCACATGTACATTTTTTTTTTAAATTTGTACATGTACATTATTTCTTGAAAACTGTACGTTAACACATCTTATATCTATTAACATTGGCTATACACGTAAGACGATAATTGTTTCAAAAGATACATAGATAAAATTAAAATAAGTATCTCATATATTGGACACATGCTTCTTTTTGATATTCATAATGATGTAACACTGCCACATGGTATGTACAATGAGTTTTAAAACTACAATTTGCAGGGAATCGAAAAAAATAAACTTTATACGACCTTTCGTTTTCCAATTGAATATTTACCTAATGTGATCTTTTCACTCCTTTTTTCAAGACCGGAATGGTCATTTGTAACCGTACAAGTGTATTCACCCCGGTCATTTTCCTCTAGTTCATGTATCGTCAGGCTAAAATCTTGATTCAATTCATATCTATAGGAAGGTACCTTTTGATATAGAGGAAAACGGTATTTGATAAACAATAAATATTTTATGCCAGTAATCAGTGCACTAGGGTAAAAAATGCCCCTCATACACTAATTTATATAGTTACGTTTTTTTTATTCTATTTTGAAAATCTATTTTTTAGCGAAGTGTACGTTTGGTTTACCTGCAATAGCATAATTCTCTGTTTTAAATATGTTCATAAATCACAATGCTGCATGAAATCGAACTTTACTATTCACAGCTTTATTGGTGAGTGTTTAATATCCTTTATCTTCAATTCGAAAGCCTGTGGTGCTTAATGTACATCAGGTTAGCTGCTCAATATTATATATATAAATGCTATCCAATTCCTTGTTGGTTAATTTTTCATATTATTTTTCCAACATGACTTTAATAGTCTATGAATCATTCAAAATAACAATAGGAAGACCAAACCGTGATGGGTTCTTTTGATTTCCATTCACATCTGTCAGCACCAACTGCGTTGCATTTAAGGGTTACATGTGAATTTGTGTAACACTTGTATCGCTGCTTTTCTATTTGAATTGTTGGTCCGACACCTGAAGAAGAAATGATGATAAGAAAAGAACGTCATCAAATAAAGTCTAATCAAGCCATTGTTTTGTCAATATTTTGTCAAACGATGTGTGTATGTATTGTATCGTTTAACAGCCCATTCACAACTCGAGTCATTTGGGCGAAACAAAGAAATAAAATAGAAATTCCTAAAAAGGGAATTCATAAAAACCAGAAACAAAAACGTTAAAAGGTGTAAAAAAAAAAGTCAAAATATATCAATACCAAACTAATTGGTTGTAAAATATATCCTATCTTATTATAGAGATTAATTGAATGTAAATAATCATACACTGATTGCACAGAAACTGTATCAAATAAACGTTGCATAGAGGGTACATTATAAAATCTGTCACGGTTTAGTTTGACTGTGAATGGTAAATCACATGAATGACAATAATGCTGGTCTTTCATACGTAAAATGTAACTACATGTGATGTAGGTATGGTCTAAGCGAAGTCGCGACAGGACAACTTCCTCTCTGCAGTCTGCTCTACCTATTGCATATGAACTGAAAACAACTTCAAATTTGATAATAGATATAGAATACATGTACCTGAAAAGAATAACACTGCATCATATAGTCCTTCTAGGATTTATCGGCGATGCTAGGGGCAACAACGTTTGAAATCCAAGTTGGTCTAAACTACTGTTGAAATAAAAGTTCAAGTGCCTAACACCTCTTAATCGATAAATATCAAACAATAATTTGTTTTGTGTATACATTATGAACCATGCTACTACTCAAAAGAGATAATTTGGGCCATCAAAACAATAGGAAAAACCTCAGGGACTAGACAATCCATAGGCAGTGTCTATCACCTTGCATATTGAAAGAACGTAACACAAATACAAACAGGTGGTTGCACCTTTGAATTTTGATATCAAATTTGTTAATCTTTTCATTGAGAAAAATATAAATTTAATCAATTCTTTTATTTTTAATGATTTTATCGCTGACCTCACAAAGATATCAGAGTTTTGGAAAGTGGATCAAAGATATTCGTTTAAGGTAACTTGATAGCACTTTATGTGGAGTACATATTGGCCAAATTTTAGAATCCTTGGTTTTTCATTATTGTTTTAAAAAAAAGCCGTTTAAAAGATATACAGTTTACGGACGGACAATGAACCGTACGATAAGCTCGCATACAATTTGTTCCGAGTGAGTAAAGTACAGTTATACAAATATAATAGATATTTTTTTAAACGGAATACAAAGTCATTTTTAAACGGAATACAAAGTAATATATTAAATATGAAAGCCGCCGATTGCTGTTGTAGAACTTCACATTGAATATATCTTAAATAGAACATATTACTTATTAACAAACGCATAGGAAAGATATGTTTTGATCATCATCATCATCATTATCATCATCATCATCATCAAACGCACCATTACAGTCGCAATCATTATCACCAACAACCTTATTGTCATTATCAACCACACCACCATCGTCACTAATTCATCCTCATCATCCTCATCATCAGCATCATGATCGTCACCATTGAAATGATCGGATCAGCATCATCATCATAATTATCAACAGTGTTTCATCATCGACATCATCATCATCATTGTCTATTTGAAAAGCACTGACAGATATACCCACTCATTTACGCTTTCACTCACACAAACTCATCTACACTCTATCTACAAAAAGATAAAATTCATGAAATTGCTATATCTGATGTATACAATAGTGTCGAAAAGGATGGAAAGAGAAACAGGAAAAAAGAAGGAAAAAGAAAAACAGGAATGAATAGGCATAGCTATTCTGTTTCAAAAATATTAAAAAACAATTAATTCTAGGGATAGATACCAGAGACAGGGATGTTCATATACAACTTAAAAATACTTTCTGAATCAGCAAAATATATAACTGGTGAGTTTCAATAGAACTCATTCATAAATAACATATTTATAATAGTTAATACATGTACAGTGTGTATATATGGTTGTTAGTACGTGTATATAAGTACACTTATATATAAAATTAGTCCACAAACTCTCTTAGCCGCATCCATTTTTTCCCAGTATGCAGTAAACCACTGCACATAATATTCACCTTTAGCAGTTGCAATGTAACGTTGAACAGTGTAATGGCTCTTGATTTCAAAAATAAGCGTGTTCTTATTCAAAATTCTACTGTTCCACCTAAAGCTGTAAATTTTGCTTAATCATTAAAAGTATTCCGTTGTTGCTCTTATTAAATCGTTCTGTTTGTGTAAACAATCCTGATATGAAAGCGAGATTGTATTGCATTATATAGGAATTAGCAATGCATCTAAAAGAGATTCAAAATTTTGCAATAAGAACTGAATTTCTTAAAATTCCCATGATAAATGCACTTTTAGATTTTTTACTAATTGATTACAGAAAGTACACAGAGGAGTATCAGAGATACCCACTTGAACTGAACTAGAAACAGTGAACCTTTAGCAGAGAAAATAAAACTTTCCAAGTTTACTTGAACATATTGTGAAAAAAAATTAAAAAAAAACGGCATGTCATTATCTGTAAAAATTACTGCAGCCATAACGACTTCGAAAATTAGAAAATCTGTGTTTATGTGAAAAACAATATTAACACTTGAAAATTAAATAAGTGTTATCCTTCTTGATTAAAACAATGTTTATAACTTTACCTTTATTGTACCATTCTCTACGACACTGACTTTCTACCAACATATATTTGTCTATTAAACCATATTGGAGTTTTTGCGACCTCTTTCCCTTCAGGATATCTTTTCAGAACTGGTTATTGCATGTTAATAACATTCTGCCATTTACCTTCACTAAGGAAAAATACCTTTTACTCAACTCACTTTCAGGAAATTAATAAAAGACTCCAAATTAACAATTTCAATACACCATATACATAGTTTTGACTAATACCATCCCTCTTCACCAGTTTTACTGTTCTACATATACTCAAACAGGATATAATTCAAAGTTGATATATGAGTGGCTTCTGGGTTAGAAAGGCAAAAAAAGATGAATGAATTGAGAAAGCATAAGTGATTTTATAATATGAATTTTCCTTATAGTGGTCTTTGAAGTTCATTTCTTGTAAAAACTGACATGACTTAATTACATAGAGCCAATCCAAATAACATGTGTCTTATTTTTTAGAAATTTTAGAAAAACTGTGACAGTGACAGTTAACTCCCTAGTAGAATAGCTATAATTATTTGAACGTACCGCAAAACAACCTTACTGCTTTTAAACATATAGAAATATTCAGTAGTAAAACCAGTCGATCCTGGACTTTTATTTATTTTCAGCAACATATTGGAACCCCTAGACGACAACACAGTCGGGGCGCAAGAAAATAGAGGCATTTAAATCATCAATCCCTATTAAATAAAGCTCAGTATCGCATGCGTCCTTAACCCCTTCCACATTACTAACATTCTGGTGTCTGTATAAAAAAAACATATATATATATACACTTTAACGGCAAGCGCCTAGCTATAGTACTAGTCTATAGTAAAACGTGGTAGGTAGTCACCGCGCGTGAGAAGCGTCAGTCCATAGTTGATAAAAAAAAGTTTCTAAAACGCATTTTTCCTACAGGTTGATATGCTGGGAAGACAGGTATTGAAGAGAAAATACCTTAATTATTAAAGATTAATGATGAAAATCTATATCAGAACCAATGATAAAAACTACTTTTTGGCAGAGCGCTGTTTAAACCGTCCATTCAAGGTGCGCGTGGCCTTGACCTCACTCTGAATAATATTTATGACGTTATCTAATAAAATGACTGCAAACTGACTAACTTCATTACATCCAATGTGGGATTTCCTACTGTTACGCCCTCAATTAGGGGACACAAAGGCGACATTGCAATATTTGTGATCTTTATATATCTTCTAACTACCTTTTATTTCCTAGCACCTTTCTTTGCAATACCTCAAGTTTGGCTTTTATATTGAGCGTTCGCCCAGGTACAGTTGTTGGATCGCACAACGTTACACGATGTGTGGTGGGCGCACGATGTGTGCACGGTGTGTGAACGATAAAAAATTGGACGATCATTGCTTGCACACATTTGTGCGGACGATTGACGAACGTTGAGCGATAGCAATCGTGGTTGGTGTAAAACGAGGAATAGCTTAACAATATATACGGTTTGGTGTTTAAACATATAAACTTGATATTTTTGTTATGTTTCCCTACTCTAGCTTCATCTACAAACTTATCTTTCTGTCTAAACTTTCTTAAGTTAAGAAAAGGCGTTTTCGGTGTTTTTTAAACGACCTTAATCGCCACATGTAAAATTACAACACATTCTTGGCAACTCAGGTAAACATAGCCACTTTGTACCTAGACCGTAGTTGTCCCCCGCCCGGGGCACTTACGTAACTCACCAAGGTGTGAAAACCAGGTGAAGGGGAGTTTTAGATTAAAACGAATGCAAATAGCAAATACTAAACGTCCAGTTGTGTTTTCATAACGGTATACGGTATCACATATCAGCTCTATACCCGTCTGACACAGGCCAGGTAACACTCCGGTCACTCATCAAATTGTTATTTACCTGTTCTGTTATCTAGCTAGGAGCTAAATCCATTCTTGACAGTCTAACGGTCACTGTAATACTGTGTTTCATGCATTGTAAAAATGTATATAATCTTAATTATTGTGATGAGAAATTACAATAATAAATACAGTATACATTATTGCATACGAGCCTTCGGTATTTTTTTTTATTCCATAATACTGATCAACAAATTGTACCGAATGGCACAGTTGTGCGGAGAGAAGCGCACAACGGGTCGAACGATTGTTAAATCGCCCAGTTGTGCGCACCATGTGTGGACGATGTGCGGACGGGGTGTGAACGATGTATGCACGAGGTGCGCACGGTATTTTTTGTGCGTTGTGCGGTCACACAACCGTAAGAATGGAAATGGGTTCCGTCCCACGGCCGAGACATACCAAAGTTCTTAAAAATGGTAGTTGTTATTCCCTGCTTAACGTTCAGTATTTAGGATATATTGACAACAACTAGTTCATCCGTTGTAGGAATTATGTTACCGGGCGAGATGCTGTGTGCTTTTGGCATTGTATTTCAGTGAGATAGCACCATGAAGTGGGCATCAGATCCGCGTTATTTCATAGAGGCAAGTATAGCAACATTCCAAATACACGCTTACGCATTGAGGCATATCCTTAAATGACCATAGATGTTATTAGGACGTTCAACAAAATAAAACCAAACCAAACATTAAATTGTGCACAAAACGTGTATGTATAAATCCACATTAAGTATGGCATCTATAACCTTAGATCACTAAACTAAACGGTAAAATCTTAGAAATGAATACTGAGATATATTGTTTGAAGCAAAATAGTTATTTATATTTAACGTATATAACATGATATTGTACTTACGGAGATTAACTTGTTGTTGTTCTGTTGTGCCATTAGAACCGGTTGCGGTACAGACATAGAAACCACCATCGTCTATTTCCACTTTTAGTATCCTAAGAGAACAAATACCACCTGAAAAGTGAACTTTGTATCTGCCATCATTTTTGTCTATTTTCTGTCGTGTCCCGTCTTTGAAAGTACTCCAATATGCAGAAATTGCATTATCTACCTTACATTTGATTACAGCAGATTGATTCACTTCAGCCACAGTAGATTTTTCGACAGGAGCGATGATTGGTTTTGGACCAGGACGAACTGAAAGATGTGGGTGCGATAAATTAATTAAAGATATATTAGTAGATCTTAAAGACCAATGATCCAAATATTAACACATTTGATATTCATAAGTAATTGAAATAATCAGCATCACAATCGGTTATTTATTATTATATCACTTTAGCAACATAACGTTAGGATGAGTAACGCATTCGTCTGAACATTTTACAGTGTGAGTATAAGTGCAATAAATGGATTATTTGAAAATAAAGCTCAACCAATCAACAGCCCAGCCCGTTTATGCGTCAATTTAGTCTTAAAATGCCCACGTAGCTTTTTCAAACTTAAACCACGCCTTTTACTGACAGTTCGTTATACTTATAAACTGTAACACCCCAAAAATGCGTTTGGACTGGCCACCATTTCGAAAATATCAATTTTCTTCGTGAGCTATCAAGACGAAAACGAATCAGGGAGCCAGATTTAGCATATCCCATATTGGCAAACAGAGTTTGCGCAGGCATATTAAGCACATCTTTCTAACGTATACGGTAAATACATCGTAAAAGGTTTTTAATTTCATCCCGTCGCATTTCCGCATTGCGGCATCGGAGAGTTCCATATTCGTGACGTCACGTCATTATCGAGCTATTGTGACGTCACGTCAAGTGAAATGAGGTGTCAGATAGAAGTTTCGCACACACCTTTCTAACGCTGGACAGCTCTATCTTACACACAGGGAAATGAGATAATATACAGTACTCCTTCATTAATTGATTCCTTTTCTTTTTTTAAATAATTTCAATTTTCATCAGAATCTGTTTCAATACCGTGAAAGAGATTCATTCAATGATTTATAACAGTTTTGTAATGATGGTGTGCTACCTAGACAATAATCTAGTTTGGAGTTATCTCCTTTTTATCAAAACGTTTTTTTACAAAATGTCAACAAGGTCGAATGGCGGTCAGAATTTCTTACATTCGCAACACCAGGCATGCTACATTATTCGGCATGGCTCCTGTTGTACCGTTATCTCTCTGATACGATTCAGTTACGACACCAAAACATGGGTCAATAACGGACATATCAAATATGTTTATTCCAAACTTATAAATTATGTAATTGTCGATGAGCATAATTCATATAAGTTATGGTTCAGAATACTAATGTCATGATTTTAATTTTAAATTTGTTCTGTTTGCGACTTCTTATATTTGTCCTTATTTAACCAAAAAACATTCTATCACAGTAGTTGTTCAAATGACAATGTTAGGTCAAGGATGAAACAATCACATCACTGTAAACATTCTATTTTTAGTATGGGTAATAGGCTTACATAACAAAACGAGTCAATCATTAATATTTCCAATATATTCGAATTCATTAAAATTGTCTTTTTAACTGTTTTATTTGATATTGAAGACATCAGGAAATGCCAATACCACTCACTGCTAAATGAACTCTTCCATAGTTATGCCTCCAGCCCTCCCATTTTCACTGTTTATTCTCTTTTCCATTAAAATATTCATGTATTGTTGTATAAATGTTTGTTCAATAATTTACCAGAAAACTAAATATAAAGTTAATAAAGTTTAATTTCTTTTAAATATATTGCGTAGGGGTGAACTTGGAGGGAAATGGAATAGGTGAAGATGTTGAGATGGAGGTAGGATTTGTTAGAAGTATAACATATATTTCTTTTCTGAATATATATATATATATATACAGCGACGATGTAGTTGCAAGAGAAATTAAAGAGAAATATGTTTATAAAAGTCCTCAAACCCAGCCTGAATGCACAATGATTTTAGCAATGCACTGTATGTAGTTGTTTTCTTTGTCTTGGTATTGTTTGTGACGTCACTATGCTTGTTTATTTATGACGTCACTAAAATTGTTGACTATACAAATATTGATGACGTCATCTAACCAACGGTGATAAATAAACATCAATCCGCCCGAAGAAGCCCTAGAAGGCAGAAAGGCCTAGCGGACGATCTGAAAAAAATGTTTTTATTCTATATATATATACATATAAAGGACTCGTTTGAAAATAACTGAACACAAAATAACCATGATTATATTATAATGTAGAGTTTCAGAATTTTAGAAATAATCAAAGTTTACATAGATTGAGGTTAAAACATAAAACCTTTTTTATTTATGTAATATACGTGAGGAAAGCGTTGGACACTTGCATCGTAGTTGTTCATACCAGGCACCAGGACAAAATAACAGGCATTAAGAACAACTGTCCAATTAACGAATTCAGATATTGTATTTGAATACCCGTCTTTAAAAGAAAACTCCACAATATTATTCATTTGTATACTAATAATAAAATACAATATGTACTCCTCAATGAAATAGAAAATACGCTTTATTTCTAAATAGTGCTCAACAATCACTTTGAATCAGGAATATTGCCATGAAGAAAACTTAGAAACAACTTAAACAGTTGTCACTATTTTTATATATTTTGTTCCTGAGCTTTCTATATTGAACGATTAAATTTAAGTTATGAATTTCCCATTCACTCCGAATAAATCTAACACTTTCCGGACTGTATTCTTTAGAATATAAATAGCACTGTATAGTCTTTCTTTCTTTAACCGATTGTTGACAGTGAATTTCAATCCATTTTTGAAAACAAAAGTAAAACCTTTTGAAGTTTCTACTTTTGTTTTCAAAATGGATTTAAATTGAAGGTTATAAAACAGTTCAGGGAGTCAACAGTGTAGAAAGTTGTGAGGTTTACGGGTACATAAGCGTAGGGTTTACATAATTAAGTTATATAGAATACTTACAGATGTTACCCATATCTTCTAAATGATCAACGAACTGAAGCTAGTTTCTGTAAAAACAAATATTCATGTACATATATTAAAATTACAATGCATTTGAAAAATTACATACATGTCGATGTGAGATTTATAAACGCATGTATTGGCATTCCTTAGGAATCAAAGAAACAAGATAGATATTTAAGCAATAGTTGAAAGAGAAAAATTGCTTAATCAATATGAACACATTACCCGTTTTTGCCCAGCCCTTCGTCCCCTGGGATCACCGGAATACTCCGGATCCAAGCTCATGGAAAGTCAGCATAGGCATTATACACACATTTCAGAATGCATCGCAATTAATCGATGGGATAAATAGAGTATGCTAACTCGTACATTTTGCTCTCTACGTTGCGTTAATAAGAGGACGAAACTAAACCTAGAAAATATTCTCCTTCATTATATACTCAGAACAAAAAACGTTAACATCGGTTAGCCTTTTAAGGATGCGCAATACGAAGCTTCAATCTAACAAATGAATCGGGTCAACTTGCAAACATCTTTTACCTATTGTTGATCTTATTTAAAGATATTTATTACATCAATCAGCTGTTTTCATTAACACATATTTTACGGATCATTGGTAATTGTTTACCTTATAAAGAAGAACCAAATAAAATATGTTTGTAAAAATACAAAAAATAACATGATTTCATTTAGACCAAGTCGATGCATGTTCCTTTAGTCAGAACGTAATAGTTTTACTCTTTTACATATAACGTGCTCTGTGTTATGAAATGGATTAAACAAATACAGGGTGAATTATTTTAAAAGAATAAACTGAAAGAATCATATTACGGTACATGTATAATCTGTAATATTTAAATGTACGGTTGTAATGACATTTGCATTCTTAAAATATTGCTATATGCATTGTTTACTTGACGTTAAGAAATTAAGAGATATTTATGACCAACAAGTAGAGCATATACTATATGTCATATTACACTCAGTTATAGTGCGATCAACGTTTTAAAAACGTTTTATGTCATGAGGTTACAATTATTTTTAATGTATATTATAATTTTCTGAATCCAAGTGGTGTTACAATACGATATAAACTACTTGTTTACCATTGTTTTTCATATGTTGTTTTGACTTATCTATAATAACATTGTCAGATACGCACTGACATGCTTAATACATTCAAACAGATTTCTTCTCGTAACGAGATTTGATACTGTTTGGCATTGTGCTTTCCACAATAAAGAGTTACAAAAACTTTTATAAAATATCATTTAACATTACGATCAATAAATGCTATATACTTTATGTAGTATTCCTGTTAAATCATTTTATCGAGCTTTTCCACTCAGGCCTAGATCTGAACCCTATTGTAAGACAGTTAAATATAATACAACTATAATTATAATAGCTATATCTAAATGTTTGTCTTCCGAATATACATACCCATTTTTTTCAAAAATGATATTTTCCAAAGTAAGCTTTAATTAACTTACCCGTGGGGGTAAAGGTAGTGATATGCACACATTCAAAGTAATTAGATTTATTTTCTGATAAAATTCAAGACAATATAATCCTTTGTATTTAAAAAAAAAATATATATTCCTCAAATGTAACCTTTCCTCCCCAGGTCAATACGCTTTGCCAGTGTATATTATTTAATTATTTAAAATCATTTTATCAAGTGGCACCCATAAATAAATAATGCAGCAGCTTTTAAACATTGCATTATTATAGACACATATCTGGTTCTCAATTTTTAAGTGGTCATGTAGTCAAAGGTTTAATTATGGTATACAATTTTCTTAAATGACAATCGTCTAAACGTTATAATACCACTATTGCTGGAATTTACAACTGTGAATGATTTCGAATCAAAATAATTGTATATAGTAATAGAACAGAACAGTCAAACATATTACTTAATTCCATTCATTTCAAATAACAAACGTTTTAGGGTTATAATAGATAAGAAAAAACTTATAATTACAAAAACAAAAATGTAATATGCTACTTATTAACAATCAATTATGAAACAATTTATTAAAATATTTCAGCATTTCAAGGGGAGTAGCTATTCTTATTAGGAAAGGCCTAAACTTGAAGGTCTCACAAATTATTATTGACACTGATGGAAGATTTATTATTTTAAAACTAGAAATAGAAACAAGTATATTTTGGTTAACTAATGTATATACACCAAATGAGTAAAATGATAAAATTATATTTTTCAAGAACATGAGGCAAAAACTCAAAGATATAAGTGGTGATGACCAGAAACATATTCTAGTTGGAGACCTTAATTGTGTTCAAAATATAGAAATGGATAGGAAAAATTGGACATCACATGTTGAAATAGGGCGAAATGAACTAAAACTACTAATAACAAATCTGGCTGTTGAAGACATTTGGCGTCGTAGAAACCCAGGATTAAAATCATATACCTTCAAAAGAGGGAGGAAACAATCAAGAATAGATTATTTTCTAACAAGCAAATCGATTGATCACATGATAATAAATTCCAGTATAGAGTTATGTCCCTTTACGGAAAATGACCACTACGGCTCACCTGTTGTGATTCTCAATTTAGATGAAATTGAAAGAGGAAAGGGATACTGGAAGATGAATTTTAATATTAATAAAATCAGATTGTTTTAAAGAAATGTTTCAATTTTTTTGGAACAATTGGAATTTTTTTATTGAGGACTATGAAAGCAAAATGAACTGGTGGGAACTTACAAAAATAAAAATACAACAATTATGTGTTACATGTAGTCATATAATTAATAAACCAAAAACATATATAAAAACAATAGAATCAAAATTAAAAGAATTGCAAAGGAAAAAGGACATGGGTTCAATTTATAATGAAAGGGAACTTTTGGAACTTACATCAGAAATTCAAACTTTTTATAATAATCTTGCAGAGGCTGCAAGAGTAAGGTCAAGGGTACAATGGAACGAGGAGGGTGAAAAATCTACTCGTTACTTTTTCAATTTAAAAAAATTGAGAGCACAAAATAATCAATGGTCATCAATTAAATGTGAAAATGGACAGTATATTTCGGATATAGATACCATCTTAAAAGAACAAGAAAAAAATTACCAAAAGTTATTTTCATCTGAGGGTTCGGATGAACGAGAGGCAGCAAAACATTTAATGAATATAGACACCAAATTAACAGAGATGGAGAAGAAAAACTGTGATAAAATTCCGACAGAAGAAAAAAATCAAAAAGTTATTAAAACTCTGAAAAACAATAAAGCTCCAGGTAGTGATGGCATTATATCAGAATTCTAGAAACGTTATTGGCATACCATCAAAAAGGAATTTACACAGGTAATTAAAGAAATATTTATTACCAAAAAACTATCATCGTCACAGTATAAAGGGATAATTAGACTCATGTACAAACAAGGGAAGAGGGAGGATATAGCCAATTGGAGACAAATCACACTACTTAATGCAGACTATAAAATCATAGCTAAGATAATTGCAGAGAGAATTAAACCTATATTACCAAATGTCATTCATAGCGACCAAAGAGGCTTTGTTAAAGGTAGAAATATTGAGGCATCTATACGATTGCTGTCCGATAGTATTGAATATACTGATATAGAAGAGAAGGGAGGGATAATAACTTTTTCTAGATCAACAGAAAGCGTTTGATAGAGTAGAATGGAGCTTGTTAGAGAACAGTTTAAGGAAATTTAATTTTGGAAATGCAATGATAGAGTACATTAATATGACCTACAAACATTCCAAAAGTTGTATTTTAACAAATGGCCATATGTCCAATTTCTTTAACCTATCACGTTCTGTAAAACAAGGATGCCCTTTGGCACCAATTTTATATATGATTCAGACAGAGGCACTTGCCTGCTCCATAAGGAAAGATAAAAATACAAAAGGTATTGACCTTCCAGAAGAAAATAATATAAAAATCCAAGCAAAAATAAACATGTTTGCAGATGATTCACAACTGTTTCTAAGTAAAGAAAATTCACTGCCGTTTTTATTCAAGCTTTTAGAAAAATATGAGAAAGCATCCGGTGCACGGTTAAATAAAAAGAAAACAAAAGGTCTGTACATAGGCAGCTGGAAGCAAAGACCCCAAAACTATACAGATATATCATGAGTCAGAGACAATATCAAGGTATTAGGAATATTTCATGGATATAGTATAGTACTGAGTTTTTGTTATTTCACTTTCGCTGGAATCTTAAAAACTCTGTATTCAAAAATAAAAAAAACCGCTTAAAAAAAATAACCCGTCTAAACTCTTCATTACCGAAGACCTGACCAAAGCTAGGCAAGCAATAGTTAAGGATTTTGGACGAGCCAAATGGATGAAATCCATTGATTCTTACTGGACCAGCGATGGGAGAATTTTCTTCAAACGATCGAGAGACTCGGAAAAAATCCTAATCAAAAACATTCACCATCTGCATTCCATCATTCCAACTCTTCGCAATAACTCCTCTGCATGATTAGTATTGAAAATCACTCAGTACTTTGATTAAGTTATCGCGTCCTGCATCCAGCACCAGCAACATCTTCATCAGCACTGTCTATATCTTATGCAACTTTCTCAGCTCGAATAACCTCACTGTTGACTGAAAATATCACGTACGTTCATGATGTGTGTACTTTTATCACTTTACGTGATGATCCAGTATCCTTTTTATCGATTCATATAGATAGTTAATCCTTAAGAGATATTCAAATCCATGTATCGAAATGTTAACTTACCATTATATTTGGACATCAATATGGTTGTATTGCATACAGAATGATGTTATTTATTGTTTGATATTTAAAAAGAATTTTAAAAAAAGTGTCATTCGTTTGATATCTAAGGCAAGTATCATAAGTTTCATATATTGCTTGATATCCAAAACAAATATCATTTATTGTTTGATAACCAAAATAAGTATCATATAATGTTTGATACCCAAAATAAGTATCATTTCTGGCTTGATAACAAAAACGAATATAACTTATTATTGGATATATCAAAACAAGGATCATTTGTTTGATACCAGAACTAATAGCATTTATTGTTTGATATCTAAAAGTAATATAATTTATTGTTTGATACCCAAAACAAGTACCATTTATTGTTTTGATTTCTAAAACAAGTATTATTTATTGTTTGATATCCAAAATAAGTATCATTTATTATTTGATATCCAAAACAAGTATTACTCATTATTTGATATCCAAAACAAGTATTATTCATTGTTTGATATCTAAAACAAGTATTATTCATTGTTTGCTATCCAAAATAAGTATTACTCATTGTTCGATATCTAAACAGGTATTATTCATTGTTTGATATCTAAAGCAAATATTATTTATTGTTTGATATCCAAATATAAAGTATCATTTATTGTTTGCTATCCAAAACAAGTATTATTCATTGTATCATCTATTGTTTGATATCCAAAACAAGTATTATTCATTGTTTGATATCCAAAACAAGTATTATTCATTGTTTGATATCCAAAACAAGTATTATTTATTGTTTAATATCCAAAATAAGTATCATTTATTGTTTGATATCCAAAAAAGTAATATGTGTTGTTTTGAATCTTCAAAATAATTATCATGTGTTGATTGGCAAGAACCACAATTACAGATATCCTGTGATGATTGATATCTCAAATCAAGTATCCTATGATGGTTGATATCACAGAAGACAACTATATTGTTTTCACTGATATCACTAAAACAGGTAGTCTGTCTTGATTGATTTCCGTATGATTCACGTGTCTCCCCAAAATATGCCTACGTGATTACCCATGCCTTCTTTCGTTTTACCTATGATATGGTCTATGTGTAATCCTCTACGTAGTCTGAATATGTCTACCTTGTCAATTTAAGCTATTTAAAGTGTCTACCTATGGTACCCTACCCTGTGTTGTTTGTGTACCATTTGTATCATCTGTTTGTCCCAAGATGACTTGTATATAATTAATGACTATGTTATTCATATAGTTATACCATGCTGAAAATGTAAATAGTTTTCCCATTTTTCTATACATTGTCATTATATACAAAATAATCATAATCTGTCGGTCTATCTATCTAACAATCATTTTAACTCTTACACTTCTTTAAAGCAGCAGAAACATCCTTCGGTTCTCCACCTATGTTTTTTTTTATTTACCTTTCCTGTTTACTATTCCCCCTTCCCTTCCCACTTCCCTCTTGTTTACTTCTGTGTGACCTTCACATCGAGTCCGTTTGTACTGTTGGACAGGTGTATACGCACGTGCGCATGTTCCTTGCCGATAGCCACCCAACCATGAACGTTCTTGATAATGAGTAACGATATAGTAGCACACAGGGTGGCGGTCGGCAATTTCTACATGCGTCACACTGTAACCACTCGATAATAAAAAACAATGTATACCAGTAATAAGAATGATGTATATAACAATGTATGCTTGTTATAAGATAAAGAATGATGTAGTGATATGTAAAACAAATATGCTTCTTACAAGATGAAGAATGATGTAGTGATATGTAAAACAATGTATGCTGATTATAAGATGAAGAATGATGTAGTGATATGTAAAACAATATATGCTGGTTATAAAATATAGATGCTAAGTATATAAACATTTGCAAATTATTGAAATAAAACATTTTGAAAGAAAAACAAAAATATTTCAGCATGCATAAAAACTGCAATTTTGAGATGTTCAACCTTAAATCGCTTAATCAGAAATTGTTAACAAAATTGTTTCATGTTTACTCCCAGTTAAGTGGGTGATGTTAAATTGTTACTTTTTATACATAACATTTTCTTTAGCCTTTGATAATTCAATGCTTTGCATCTGCCATTTCATAAATTCAAAATTAACATTACATAACACACTCCTCACAATAATAAGATGTTTTGAACATTATTAAAAAAATAGTGTTTTGAGATTCAAATAAGTATGACTGAACATGTAAAACGAATTTTCTTATGTTAACATTTGCTTTATGATCATAATAGTATATACATTATATATTGCAGCATCTAAATTAAATGTACATGTGCAGCAATAGTAAAGTATAAACTCGACGCAACTATAATCAACATAGCGTTGATATATATATAAACAAAAAGTTATTTTATGTTAGGAGAAGACCGACAATGGAAAGAAGCATTTAAACAACCTGAACATACCGCAAATTAATTATTAAGACCAACTCTGAAAACAATTATCGACACCTCAGGTAGGCGGAGTAGAACAGTTTCATGAAGTTTTATCCTCTCGCTTACAAAACTAATCAGATCCAGCCGTCATCGTATTCCGAACCAATGTCCCAACATTCAACAGGCCTACACACTTTTATTTATCTTATGTTGCCCGGAGTTAATTTTTTCACAAATGACCTTTTTGAAGCAGCGGCATCATTTAAGTTCATAAAATAGATTAATCATTGATTTCTTAAAAAAGAATATAGATCGTATTGACGAAACATATATCAATGGTGCTCTACTACCAGATAAGTAAATCATAAAACCATAAGCATGTCGGCCATACTTGTTTAAAATTTACGATTGTAACTTTAAAAGCAATAAATAATGATTTTACATACCTTGATATTGTAGCAAATATATGTATGTGTATTGTCTGATTATCGACACTGTGTGTATCAACACTCAGTGAATCACCGGTAAGATCATACGCATGCTTACATTAACTCGTTATCTCACCTACAGATAGTGTAGGTATAAACAAACAAAAAATATCGCTTAGTAATTGTTACTGTGTATTATATACTGACCGGCAAAATTAAGTATACACTTTAAAAAGGCATCACATTATTATATTTCATCATGATATAGTCGATTTTATATCGGAAGTATAAAAATTCATTATTGGAGACACATTTAAAGCAGAATCGGGACTACCGTCAACTAACAAACAAGTATACAGTCTTGCAGGGGTCTTGACGTTACAACTATACACAGTTAGAACACATTGTGACGTCAATATCTTGTGTTTGAAATAACAGGTTTGAAATAAATTACTTAATTTTGTTGCCATTTCGGAAAGGTAAGCCTCATTGGTGGCACTAAAAGTGAAACAGAATAAAATACATAACCGAAGTGTTCCGGAACGTATGTAAAGCAATAGCACAATGCAAAATATGCCTGCAAAATCAGATTATATACAGTAGGATGGGATAACTAATTCAAATCAGGGAAGTGCTTTGATAGGATTGTATTACAAGTCAAAAGAATGTAATTGTTATTATAATTTGAAATGCTTGGAAAAGTTATTTTCATTTAATGAGGCCCTACTTTACCACGTTTAGTGATTACATATCGGGGTTAATTCGAAATTTACATACTTCCCAGACAGATTCGAGCTACGGGAAAATGCCAACATAAGGTTTGGAGGGATGCAGCTTGATGTGTGTCCACACTTAGGGAACAGTCTGTGGTGAACAACACAACACCAATGATAACGCGATCTAGTCATTTTCACTGATAAAACATAGCTGGTCTGCCTTACCTCGCCGCTTAACACACAGCATATGTTACGATATTGAAATGTGCTGTTGGATTTCCTGCGTGATAAATTTTTTCTACCGTAAAATTAGGGATTGTTTGGAATGGCTGTTTTGTTGCAAGGGCTGTCGGAGAAAAGGTACGATTAACGCTAAGATTTTTTTTATCTAATTCAGTGAACATGAACTGCAATATTTCAAATATTAACAAGTATTGATATTAAATGTGTATTTCAATAACTAAATTGGAAACGATTTTCCATCCAGTGGGAAATATTGTTGACCGAGAATGAACCACGATAAAAAAAAACACAACTGAATATCATGTTCGTTAGCTATGTTAACATGCCTGTAGCCGTCTCGGTTAGAAGCCGCGGTGCCCATGTGGTTAAGGCATGTTACATTCTGCTACCACTAGCCCTACACCGTTAGGTAGCGGGTTTGAGGCCTACGTGGGGCAGTCGCTAGGAACTTGCTGTAGGTCTGTGGCTTTTTCTCCAGGTTCTCCGGCTTTCCTCCACCACCCTAACCTGGCACGTCCTTAAATGACTATAGGTCATAAAACACAAACAAACCAAACAAAAATAGCAGTCTCCTCGGTTTGTCATTATTTGTTCTGATTAACAACTAACATCAGATATACTCTTAAGCAAGTTTGATAGAGACACTTTCAATTGTGGGTTTCATATTTCTATCTATCATTTAGATTACGATGCATTATAGAAGCCCTGTAAGCATAACAATGAGTATGTTTGCTTTCTTGTTAAAATTTAATTCAGCACAGATGGGTTCTGTTGTCAAAGAATCAATGTACACATAACATTGTACTTTATTTTAGCGATTTTTGCGCTTTGACTTTATTATGATCATGTTTTTGTATATTGTATTCTTTTGAATATTATGCTAATGGTTCAGTTAATAAATGCATTAATGTGTTTACATTTGACAGTACACTTGAAATTCTGTGCATTAAATAAGAAAGTTCACAGCATACAGCTCATATTAAAAATTCGCTTAAAATAATTCACAGTGCAAATCTATAAATATAATTATGCATTTAAAATAACTGTTTTAGAACTTTGAATTTTAACGTTTTATTAATGTTACATCGTAGATTTTCTTAATTAGGTGGAAAAAGATATAATATTTTCCTGGTTTCGAACTTACCTAAATGTTACTTGTGAAGTATTTGTAAATGAAATCTAATTTTGGAAATTCGAAAAAGAAAAAACCCGTTCAGTCTGCATAACGCAATGTCATGAGTACACGGCTTCAAACTGGACTGTGAATCGCGATTTTTTTTCTTCTTTTGCCATATTGAAAAGAGATATTGGAAAACAATACCGCATGTATTGCACTATTGTTTTTTTCAAAAGTATATAGTATATTTTGTTAAAGCTGACTAAGCAAGTCATATAAATAAGAGATATATAAAGTTGGTTCAAATAATTCAATATTTTTTTATTTTTTTTTATTTTGATTTCATAAAAACAAAATGTTCATTTTGGTCATACCAATGTTTAAGACATGAGAATGAGGATGGAATTATATTTACACACGTCATGATACATACTTTTTTAGAATCATTTTAATTTCTGATTAAAACGGTAATGAAATGGAAATGACAAACCTGTTACCTTCCTTCAAAAAGGAAAAGTCTTATAATTATTTACGCCAGAGAAATATATATCATAAAAGAAAGAGTATCCAAGCTCAATTTATCACTTAAACATAATAAGTATTTAGATATATTTAATTATGAGCAAATCGATCATAGTACACTAATGGTTGTTTTCATCTTAGTGGTATGTATCGATTTCATGAAAAACATCTACTGATTGATCTGGTAGGATAAAATATTATGCAAAAGGACCGTCACAACGGAAACAGGGCGTCATCTTTCAAGGAATATTTATGCATGTAACTGGATCATTAAGTCAGTTTTCATTTATATCTGTCAATTAACTGCAATTTTGTATTATCTAATTAAAAAAGGAAGCCCTTTTCACGGGATAATTCCCAATATAAAACACATTTGCAAGGAAATCTCTCAGCTTTAGGTAATTTTTGAAAACGGAGATGCTCCTTCCAACCAACATATGTGACGGCATCATAAATAAAATGGCTCTTAATTGTAGCAAGTTTTAAATAACATTAATTTATTTACTTATTTGTCTTTTATGTTAATCTTTCATTTATTCATTTTCACATAAGTATTAGGTTGAGCTTTTTTTAGCAAACCAACTCACAAATCCTGTTAAAATGCATTTTGTTACAATAACAACATGTCCATAGCTGTTAATAGGACGTAAAACACAAACCAAACCAAACCAAAAACAACAGCATGTTTCTCATCAAGGTTTTTACGCGATCTCTTAGTAAGTTTTAATCAATCTAGATATTCATATACTCAAAATCATTAGAGACCTTATCTGGAGCCCCATTATCACTTTATTGAATGTTTGAATCACAAATTAACAATATGCTGGTTGTTAATAGTCTGTTATGCCAAAATATTTGTGAGTTAAATCTATATATATGATTATTGTACATTGTATTTATATCTATAATTTTGGCTTGTTCATAATATAATCTTTTTTTTTTCTTTTCTACATTCCATTATATATGTATGCGTAATTGACTGCAAACTAACGCGCGTATTTATTTCATTTAATAGGCCTTAACAAAGGAAATTAATATAAAAAAAATTTTTTAAACAGAACCTGTTAAACAGCCCCATCATAAAAACAAGCAGCAGTAGAAAATTCCAAATAGATTTTTATGAGATTCTTACAATTCAATTATTATCTTCTGCACAAAATGTAAGTAATAATATGTTAGCACTTTTTTCTACATAAAAAATAATATCACTTTTATATAGGCTTTAATGTTTTCTGTATTACTGGACTTAAAGATAAAGCGTAAAAGTTGTATTACCACCAACGTCAAGAAGACAGTTAATCTTACAAATGATGTTAGTTTGTATCTATTTGAACATATCTTTTTCATATCGGTAGGAATCATATCATATATATGTTCCTAGTTACAGTATTTTTATAACAGATTTGCGTACTGATCACAAATGTAAAAGCATACAGCGTTTTAGCCGCGTTGATACATGTAACGACATTTTAAAACAAATTGCGAACAAATCAAAAAAATAAACCATGTGCAATTCTATGACGTTGATATCAACGTGATAAAACTGATATATTTCATAATATGGCAGATGTCAAAAGTGATTGTCATATAGAAATAGAAAGAGTGCAAAAAATATGTTTGACCAATCATAACGGTTCTTTCCATTTGCAGCATTTAAAGCTACATATTGTCAGTTTAGACTTTGATAAAGAAATGGTAGAATAAGTGGTTGTTTGAGAATGGCGTTGCAAAATACACAATCGATAACAATTTCTTAGCATATTTCACCAGATAATAGAAAAAAACGTGATAAGTATGTTGAGTATACACTCTTATTCCAAGGGAAACTATTGAAATGTCCTCTTTGTAACGTTAAACATGATAGCTAATTTGAGGGAGAGATATGATAATTAATCTAGCCAGGGACAGTTAAAATGTACTATGAAAAGAGACTAAAAACGTCCGGTTTTGGATCAAAAGTTGTTTGACCTTCCCTAAATGTACCCAAATTAATTGCTACATTACGCTTTTAAAATGCTTCATATGATACAATGAATTGTTAAAAAGTGCGCATGTCGTGATTGCCTCCGTTTCAGTCATATTGTGATTTTTCTAAAAAAAAAAATACCACATCTTTGCCCCAGCGGCTATCGCATCAATGTTGGTACAATGTAGTCCATACCTGGGAATCATCGATCGTGAGTTCGATATGCAAACTCTTCGGCTATTTATTGATATATTCTGTCGTCAGTGATTGGTGAAAGTTAATATCTCTGTATATACATAAAGTAGTGTATACATTTTAACTACATTCTTTTTAAATTTAACTAATGTTTTCTTCCTATCTAAGGGGCAAACAATGTGCTGAATACGGGTGACAGCAGACACATGAGGATAAGGTATCCTTAAATGCGTGTACACTACTGTACATAATTCGTTAATTTAGTACTTTTGATATTATACATTTTATTATTTAATTGATATTTAGAAAATATTATGAGTCAAAAGTTAATGAAACACGACCATCTCCTGCTTTTCAATATTTACACATGCGATTGAAATTGACAAAAATATGCATTGATATAATAACACATGCTCAAAATGAGTATAAATTGACGTACGTAAAATCATTATCCCGAGTAATAAAACTGTGTGGCATGAATTGCCTTGTCTTGTTGAACTATTTCAGCATTTTTTTTTTCTTTATGCAATGCAGTTAGGTTTAGGTAGTATACAAATACACATCCGTCATAGGTAATACATCTATTTAGGGAATTTCGCTGAAGGAGAACCTGATCATTTCACTCACGTGAGGAGTCAACAAATACGAGTAACTTATTATTGAACCACCTCATCAGATCGGGTGATGTAATTGTACTGGTTATGGGAATATAATGCGAACCACTCTGTGATAGTGCTTACACATATTATTTAGGCATATTAACCTTGAGATTTATTCTCATTCATTTCCCCCTTTATTTAGGCTGGGGATATTGTTTTTAATTAGAATATTGTAAGACACATATCATACGTACTTACTTAAGGTATCCCTTGCCCACCTGCTGACATTACTTTGCTGTCATACCAGGACACAGGTACATTGTATAAAGATGTGCCCTGGGCCTGCTGCCGTCAGCACTAGTAATTCAATTCCGTGATGAAAGTAAACTTGTAACTGTTTGTACGTATTTTGGAATAAGGAAGACACAATCTCTTCATGTTACAATAAAATGTTAGTTAAGAATAGTTATATAAAATACATCATACATTTTAACAAACGTTACAATAATCCTTGAAATGTTTTTACTTTATTGGCATAAGCGGTATATAGTATACAGAATATAAGTCTGTGATATAAATAATGGGGCACAGAAACTGGTCACGAAATGGCACCGTTTAACGACGACGACAGGATGTAGATCAACGGAGGTGATTTAAAACTGACTCCCAGATAAAATTCAAGAATTAACATCGTTGATCAGCAACATAAAGTGACTTATTGTTTCATTTCCCTCTTTATCGGTTTTTTCGGCATATGCCAGGTAAAAATGTTTCATTTTACACGTCAATATCTCGGCTTTAGCTGACCGATTTTATGCGCTCTGCAACATTTTTGTTGTTTGATCCGATATACATAATGTATTAATATGATCTTTAACTTCATAATTCAGTGTCGTATTGAGGCGTATATGGTCGTTGGTGGGGAAATTATATGTGATGTTATCCTTATGGCTGCGAGGTCTGTAGCCAATCGCCCAATCGATTTATGTGTTGGTATATCTCAAAAAGAATACAGCAATATGTCATTTGTCAATTTATGCGTTGGTGGAGTGGTGAAGTAAAGCTACTGGGTTAAATGTAGCAACCAAGATAGCTTAATCGCATGTTTATAAAGGTCCAGATAAAGTAAGTATATAGCCGATGACAAATACTACAAAGCACATTTTTCCTCATGACAAGTCAGATAATGGGCTTTCTGAACTTGAGCTAAATACGCGACAGTTAAGGAAAACAAACTACTCATCAAAGCTGTTTTTGTCTCACCGCATAGCTTAATATGTTGCCACGTGCGATAAACGTCACATGCAAATTGTTGTGCAAATATACCGAGCTACTGACATGTTACTAAAGGTTTAATGCTTCATATCTTAATCCTGTGAAACAGAGTTAGACATGAATAACAATACCAAACTAATTATCGATGTTGCTACGCCTATTCTTCTCTTTTTCATTGCTTTAATATTGATCCGCATTTCGTGGGATGTTGGGAAAATAGCTGTCTGTGAGTATATAGTATTAAGTTAGAATTAATTGTTACCAAAATGTACATTACTTATTGAAGAAATACATTTCTTGGTTTAAATTATTTACATTTGTCGTTTGTGATATTGTAAGCTTTTTTTGCAAGACTATAAGATGGCATCTTATTCGTCCTTTTAAAATCATCGGTTTTGCTTACGTTATTTAAAAATGATTAAGCATCGTAACACTGAATGAGTGAGGTAAGGGGTGTGGAGTGGAGATGGTGTCGAGGTTCAACGAAAAAGGTAGATGTCTTTATGTTAAATAAGATTTAGAACCTTTAATACAATGAGTTCTTATTTGAAATCTCGTCTTCCTCCAGAACAAAAATGTACTTTCAAGAAACCAAGTAGTAAAATATAGAAAACTAGATAAACAAGCATAGGAAAACTTTAGAAATGTTAATAGTTATTAAAGTTAATCAGTTTAAAGGAACTAAAAGAAGTAAGAATTTAAACAAAATAACAGTCTCTCATTTAGTTTTGCAGAATTCCTCCAAGTTATTACTAAGTGATAGGCATGAGTTTTTTTTACTATCGGGGAAATTCTTTTTCCCTGAGTTATATGTAAATCTAAAACATATATTTACACGTTAAAGACACAGTATCTCAATGGGGTTTTTCAAAATCAGATATGTCATTTGTGTTATTTTCTTTACTGATTTGGCGAGTGCTTCAAGCAAGAAATAACATTGAACCTATGCTGAAAATTTTGTAAAACATTTTAACTTTCGTCTAACTTTGAAACTAAAAGAAATTCGCATTTGATGTTTGTCAAACCTTGAGGAAATTTAGTATAGTGTTTTACGAAATGACTTCGATAGTTTTTCCCCATTAGAAGCTGTAATATTCTGAAAATACCATTATTTATGTTTTTAATTTCTTTTCATCATTTTGTCTGTAGATATAGAGAAAGAAAAAAAGCATCCGCCGGAAAGTCCCAAAGGTAAATACAACTTGAAATAAAGACTTATAGTTGCTAGGTTATTGTGTGTAACACTCATACAAGTGAAGTATACATGTACCGGTAGCAGTTTGCCTATCGAAAGCTTCAGTTTACATAAACATAATGACGATGGGATTTTACGGTGGTCTCTGTATTGTAAATTGTTTTTTAATTGTAGTGAGAAATTTGGATACAGGCTTGTTTAAGAACTAGAAAAGCCAGCGATAAAACGCTGATAATAAAGTTTCGAAATCAAATGCAAACAAGGCATAAACGTATCTTGATCATTAGTTGGTATTTGGACAGATTATAATACAGAAACATGAGTAGCCAGTACAGTCTTCAAAATAAATTGCGTATGGATTTTCATCCGCATTTCTTGAAATGACGCTTAAATGATACCTACACTGTACCATATCATAGCAAGAAGGGGCTGACCTCTAAGCGGGTTTAATAGGGGACACTTATTGCAAAATCTTAAATAACTTTTCTTTTACTTCTATCCTGTAACTATCTGTGACATTTTGATGAAACTTGGTTGTAACCAAAACCTATCTATTGAAATAAGATTTCATACTCAAAATAGAGCTTACCCGATCAGGGGCCTGACTGACAAGAGCCCTAATGCACTTTATCGAATTGTCAATTTCATTCACCCATATTTTCTCTGGTCAGGTTGGAACATATAATTATTTTTTGTATATGGTAATGACATTTTGGGGTAATTTGTTGATTTCCATGCATTCAGACTTAGATAGAATTCTTATTTTACTGCAGCTGAACTACCCAGGCCCCCCCCCCAATTTCGCTTAAACTTTATCTTCGTTCATCGTTTAGGCCAATGAGCCTCTTGTATATTAAGTATTTCTAGCGTTAACGTTCACACCATAAACTTCGTTTGCATTCTGAATATTTTTTCAATAGTAATGTATTGATCATGTGTGCGTTGAACCAATTACAAAACAAGTAACAACAAATAACAATACTTGTTATTCATTATAAAATGCAAACATGTAAATAAATTCTAGAAGAAAATTTCAACATCCTGTCCTGCATTTACATGTGACACGAAAAATAACTTCAATATATCATAGACCGCGGAAATTCGATATAATAGGCCATTTTCAAGTATGATTTATAGTTTACTTAGTTTTTACACGTGACTGAATTGTGATACCTATATTTGTTTTCCTGTTCAAAATAAATTAAATAAAAGTATACGAGTTCATAATTTTGACAAGAAATAACATTTCCCATGTGGCTGTTTTTTACAAGAAATGTTCAAAAGAGAATAAGAAAATTATTTAGTAAACAACATCAGTTTTGCGTTGGTCTTGAAACAAATTCATGAAGCACCGCCTAGCAGTTCATCCAATGAAATCGATCAAAGTAAGATTCAATCCTTAATTGAAAAAAGAACCTTGCTAAGGTTAAAAAACGAAGATATATCTGGATATTAAATTTAAATGCAACGAAAATCAATCCATTAGAAAATACCATTTAGTTTGCCATACATTTGTCAGTATTAACATGATATGTGACTTTTATAGTTGATGCCTTGATATCAAAATTATCCAAGAGTTTTCTTTATACAGTTTCGATGTTGTCATTTGAAATTGTTGTTGATTCTCTTTGAAATTTACCTATACTAATTAATATACTTTGTGTAAATAATGCGTTCTCAACATGGCGGTACAAAGTTGTATTTGCACTAAAATACAAAGTAAAGAAGGGTAGTACATGTGCTAGCCTTCGATATGTTGTGAATGTATATAAATCGATCTAGCTTACTTAGTGTGCTCGGTGATTCACGTACGTCAATTAGATGATTGCGGAGTCGAAAACTACTCTTATTGCTGTTATTGTACTGTATTAGGAGAAAGAGAAATGCACGGCCAGAGCAGTATTCGAACCCGGGACCATCCGAACCCTATAGAGACGCTCTACTAACTGAACTACATGGACGCGGACGATCGACCTAGTCCCGTAAGACTACATTCCTCCCTCTTTTTTATTAGTCTTTGTTCCCCAGACATCACTTTTTACAACCGAGGTTCAGGTTGGCCACACTGTAACCAGAGAGAGAAATGCACAGCCAAACTCGGACTCGAATCCGAGACCCTCCGAACTCTACACCATTACTGAAATGACCGATGAATTTGCAAATAGTTGTAATATTTGAAGAGCTTAGTTCTTAAACCCGAGACAGATTTTGATAGATATTGTAAAGACATAAATAAACCTTAAGCTAGAGAAAAAGTCAAAAACACAGTAAATGACATACTTGGAGAAATAGCAATCAAGACCAAAAAGCTATATAATTCAAAAGACGTAATGCCTGGTATTAAAACTGCCTCAATGGGGAAACAAAAACGGACAAAATAAAGCTGCTGTGCCAATTGCAATAGTTGGTACCTTCATTTTATTCTAGCCCTTCCTTAACAGCACCTCACTCCGGCTTTAACGTGGGACGTTTGGCCATGTGAGGAATGTAATGGGTTCTGTCCACTGGCCAGGACAAACTAAAGACCTTAAAATAGTAATTGTTATTTCCTGTTTAACATTCAGCATTAAGGGCAATTGTAACAACTGATTCACCCGTTGTCAGTATAATGAGACCGGGCGGAATGTTATGCTGGGTACTTTTTGAGGTGTTTCAGTGAGATAGCATATAGCATCAAATCCGCGGTATCACCAGGACGCTACTACACCAAAATACCCTGTTTCCGGCACACATACACACATGCAAGCGAACAGAGCGCATATGGAGGCACGTCCTTAAATCACCTTTGACGTCAAACAAAATATAACCAAACCAATCCTCCATAGACCGTTGGTGTGAATCTGACAATTCTTTTCCCAAAATTGTTTTGATTGTTATGGTTTTAATTAGTTTTTACAAAAATAACCAGAAGAAGCCAAGAAAACTTTCACGCAATGGTTAAGCAACAAGATTGCTTTAATGGCTTTACTAGCATTTTACTTTTCAATTTAAAATCTGCTGAATGCCGCACCAGTTTATTAAAGGATTACAAGAAATACAAGCTTCATGATGGACTTAATCCCTTTGGTAAGACACCAAGGGTATGATCGTATTTTTATTAGATACTTGGTTGGTATCTCAAATGATACCGTGTTATAACATACGTTTAGTCCCAAGGGAATGATCTGGATCAATCCTGGTAGCATGTTTATTCTCCTCATGCCTAGCACGTTTCTGTTTTCGTTTTTTGCCCAAGTCATCTGCCCCTGAGGAACCACCATCCTCCGTTTATCCCAAAATGGTAGCCGAATAGCCAGGTGAGCTAATGTGCGATACAAAAATTGTCTCGCCATGTGAAGACAGTGTGTTTAACATATATTTCGATTGTACACACATGCGATCGTCCTATACACTATGTACATACCCTATCGCAAATATGCTATCTTCCTATACATTATGTACATACCCTATAGCACACGTGTTAGCATTGTATGCACCATGTACATTCCATACCGTAACCATGTATGGTTCACGTCATGTGCATCTTATTCATATATGCTATGCTGATATGAATCACATCACATCAACATAATTAGCATATGTCCATGTTTTGATAAGGTACCCTGTAATGCAGTCGAATACAAATTAACAAACACAGCGTTACAAGTGCAAATGTTTAATTGGCATTTTGAATACGTTTGCAAATATCCACTTCTTGAGTAAATAATTGTATAAGTTTTTGTCGTTCAGTCTGCAATTGATCTTGAATACGAGAATGCATGTGTCAGATATTAACACACGCTCTGTCGATTTGTTTGTAAACAGATATTAGAAGTGTAAAATGCAAACTGTACGAGAAAACTTTAACAATAACTTACCTTAGTTGATATTTAAACATCTTCAAACATTTCTTTTCCAATTATCACAGCTTCAGGCTCATAGCTCATATCAACTAGAAATAATTAAAAAAACGAAAGCTAAATATCTCATTATTTTTTATTTTCCCTGTGATATCTAACAGATGGCAATACTGGACTATCGAACAAAGAAGGAAAGACAGAAGGAACACCTAAGATTAAAGGTAATAACAAATAAATTCATTCTGGAAATACCGTTATATTCATGCATGCTTACAGACCTAAGCTTGCGTGATAACCAGAGAAATCTTACTGATGCATTTTCCATTATTTCACAAGACGATACACGGACTAATAATGCTTCCATGTTTCAATCTTTCCGATTACCAGTTAATGATAAGGATAAGGAACTACGCCATTTGCTGTCGTTAACCGGAAATTCGATTCAGTACCTGCTGAATAGTCTCCGAGTGTTCCACTTTAATTTGAAATAAATCTACTTTTTTAAAGTAACTCTACTATATTTTGAACAGTTGCGGCATTTCTAGATTAATTATTTGTAAGACATCAAAAAATGCTGTACACAGTAACATTGCAAATAACAGGAAACAATAAAATCCCTAAAATACTTTTAATATGCTTAGCCTTCTATTCTTTTTCGAAATGGATTTTTTGTTGTAGAAAAGGGAAATCTTTTGAAAGCGCATTGTTTCATGAAGAAAAAAAAAATCATAACATTTTTTAATAACATCTCGATGGTGGGTATTTCCAGATTTTCACCTGTAAATATCATCATAATCACCGGATAACTATATCTGTCATCGTTAATGGCTCAAATTAAAACGATTCACTGAGATTGATTCCTTTATCGGTGTATACTGACCACATCTCTGATGATAAAGATCAAGCAAATATTCTAAAACACCGCAATATAATGACTAAATAGCATTATAAATCGACATCACGATAGATTTGGTATTTATGAGAAAGCAGGACAAATGTGGTACTCTACACACTGTTAAACTTCGGTGTACATATTAAAGAGAAGATCTGATAAAGTTTTTCATTTACATAGCTTTGGTGTCCCTGTAATTCCTGTTTCTAGTTTCTCCGTATCTCTTTTACTCCCCACAATGTAAAATAAATAATGTTAATTTCGATATTAGTATACTGTATTTTAATAAATTGGTTTATTTCTGTAATTTCCCCTTTCCAAAAATCCTCTGATCAATGATAAGATAAATATGACAGCAAAATTGTGCAAACATTTGGCTAGCTTTTATTTATAAAACATACAGTTGTAAAATAGATAAATCGTTGAAAAAAAAAAAAAAAAAATTAATATTATTTTACTTTCAATAAGTTGACAATTAACCAATGCTGCATTTTTGTTCACATTTTAGTTTATCTAGATTTCCTTTATGAAGTGAAAGATGTGATTGATAGCCTCCACAAACCACTGGAAATTCTTTTAAGTAACATAACCGGAAAAAGTGTGGAGATCGTAAGAGGTGGTCCTGATGAATGTCAACTAAAATTGACTGGATTATTCGCTCCAGAAAGGCCAGCAGACTATACTGAAGATGTTAAAAAAAGTAAGAATGTTTCTAATTTTAGTAAGCTTTAGGAACCTAAGTCAGAGTTTGAATCATGTCAAAGTAAAACAAATAAATATCAAAACTGGATACTGCTAATGCTTATTTAATATGATAATTGATGTTTTTACAACGCAAAACACTTATATGACTTTTAATTATTTAACGGTTAATCGATAAATAATTTTATTTTAAACAAATCTTTATAAGTCAAAAGACTTTAAAACATATGTTAATATATATTTTTGAAGTGTTGTTGAGAGCGTGATGTAGTATTGAAGTAATGTAAGATAAATTACGTGCATCATATGCTTTTTAATGTGTGTGAAGTGTAAAGGTATGAGTCATGTGTGTGTGTGGCTAACGGTATATGCCAAGGTATGGTTCTGAGTGTAACGTGTTACAGGTACTGGTCTGTACATGTAATGTATGATACCTTTTTTCTGTAAATTGTGCGTTGTTTGTAACAAAAATAAATTAAAAATGAAATGAATATGTAGATTAATAAAAGAAACATATTTACCAAGCTGTGGATTAAGTAAAAGTGATCTGATCGAGTTCACTGGATACACAGCTTCCAATACAGCCACGAATACATTTTGGTTAGGAAATGCCTAAGAACATTTATTATATAAAAATGTATTTGAAGACTGCAAATTTCGATTACCTAGTTGTTACAGTTACTCTGTTGCCATGCAAATACCTTTCCTTTTTTTAAGTTTCGAACAGGTGTATATGATATAAAAACATTTTACGTGCATACTTATTTCCAACTTTGAGGCAACCTGTTAAAATTTTTGGATCCGTGTCCAACTGCATGCCAAACACATATTAATTACCTATCCATTATTTTGCTTCGGGTTTTTCGGTAGGGGAAGTAAGCCATGTTTCTACCGTTGAGCATGTAGCCCATATTGTTAGAATGACCGTATAATGATCGGTAGTCCAAGTTCCAAATCTTGTTCTGTCCATGTTGTATTTGAACTCTAAGAACACTATTGTTGAGCATTTGATTGTATAGTTCATCTTTATAACGTTTAATTGTAGTTTCTCAACATATTGATTTTGTTGTCAGAAACAATATATTTTTACTACTGTCATGCCAGTATAAACAGTCATGCCAGTATAAACAATTGTAATTCATAGTTACATGATTTGGCTGTGGAAAAGGGGATTTTAAAAAAGAACTATGATAACGTATCAAAATCATTGAATATCAAAATGAATTAGTTATTGAAATGCTAGAAAATAAGTTCAAATAAATAAATAAATATATAAAAAAAATGCTATTTATAGTAGATAATAAATAAACAAGAAGGAAAAATATAGACCAAAATAATAAATCTGTCAGATCTACCGCCAGGCCTTTCTGCCTTCTAGGGCTTAAACCGTTGGGTACACGACGTCATCAATATTTGTATAGTCAACAAATTTAGTGACGTCGTCAATAAAAAAATCATAGTGACGTTGAAAACAATACAATGACAAAGAAAACATCGACATGCAATACATTGTAAAAATCATTGTGTATTCAAGCACAATTCCTTATATATATATATTGAAAATAACTCGATGTTTCTTTTGATTTGCAGAAGCCGCAGGACGTACCATATTGATACTGTGTAAAGAAGACTTCGATTGGAAACTAGACAATGCTCTCTTCATCCGTTATACAAAAAACTATAGCAAATGTGAGCTCATGTCTACAAAGACAGTAGAAAACAAAGAAGCCTTACAGGCTTTGATGAAAATATAAAAACATTGTGTGCTTGACAGTGGTTTAAATTTCCGATTTACACACTATCTGTCACTCTGTCAATCGTTGCTGGCATTTGACTTTAATAAACAGACTTTAATAATCATGATTTTATTGTAATTTTCATTCAAACTTCAGATCATGATACGCTACCTGTCTAAACAAATAGTTTTGTATACATTAAAACAAAACAAGAAATGAATTCTCCAATATTAAGTTTTTTCGAAAAAAAAGGAACCTGCCATCACTACTTAACAATCGGTACAATAAAAGTAACTTGTGATTAGAGTATTCCTAATATTTAGAAAACACATTGTATTAATGTTTATTATTGTAGATTGACATTCGTACACGTATCTAAACAAAATTGCCCAATTTAGATTATATTTTTATACATTCGTGCCTATATTTATCTCTGACTAGTGTTAACATGTGTAGTAACATTGTATCATATATTAGCAAATTGTGTGCTATAAGTAATATATTGTTCGCTGATTCTGTAACTTAAATTGTTGCCTTAAATAGTTTCTGCGGGACTTGTGTAAGGGTTAGTTTCTCATTACGCTTTGGTGCCCTCTACCCCTTCCACGCTACTTATTATCAGACACATTGGCGCTAAAATAGTTGTGCACTAGAGTTAACACTGTTAACACTACATTGTTCACTACGTGTGCAATACAAAGTGCACTAAATACGAAGTAAAGGTTACACCCAACTGTATATATCGACACACCAGCTAGAAATAAAATATCGGGAGACATCTGCTACTCTTTACTCTCATCAGTATCTAGCAGATGGAATCATCAACCACTCTACTGAAAACTCCATAATATCTACACAATTATACAGGAGTCAATCAATCACTTTACTAAAAACTCCATAATATCTATACAATAATACAGGAGTCAATCAATCACTTTACTGAAAACTCCATAATATCTACACAATTATACAAGAGTCAATCAATCACTCTTTCTTAAATTTTGTTTGCTGTTGAGAAATTGAGAAAACAAAATGGCCGCCAGGCAGTCATCTTTGATTTGAAGAGATAAAGTTTTAAAGACAGATATAAGTGGAATGGGGAGAAATGATCTTTACATAGAACTAATGAAGATATTTTGGTAGTTGGCGCAAAGATCCCTCTTAGAACTTTTTGTTTATATCAATTTGATGTTGACTTGCCATTAAATTATTCATAACACAATTTCAACTTTGCATTGACCCCAAAAGTTTACTTTAATAATCTTGTTTTGAACACAAAGTTTGAGTATTTTGCAACATTCGGACATATTCATTGTGATAGAAAGGGGGTGATTAGTCTTATCTCATGATGGAAAAACCAACCAATCTTTATCAGGGATTGGTGGTGCGTTGTTTGTTGTTATCAACTGTGTTATCTGAAGTAGTAGGTAGAGCTGTCGCAAACTGTCAAATTTAGCATGACTCGTTTATCATAAGTCAGGATTCGGGTTCAAAATCTGTTTTACCACGAGTTAGCTACTTGAATGCGATCAAAGTCACGGATTTATCAGCTCATGTAGTTTAAAATAGAGATAAAATGGCTGTCATTGAACAAAGGTTATCTTTGATGATACTCCCAGAACTTTTGCGATATATTATCATCCAAGGACTTCAATTAGGTCGTCATAGTGTATCTTATATGACTGTCTCCCACGTCAATCATTGATAATGTCATAGCATATAATAGGTCAGTACCGGTCCGATTTAGTATGTGAACAGCTAAGGTGGATTTATAGAATGTAGTCGAAGGAGAGATGATATGATTATCTAAGTGTATTGTTCTATTTCAGAAGTTGGCGGTCCTGCTCTGGCATCTTTAATTTACTTTTATTTTAATACCTTCACCCTTAATCTCAATCGTTTTGCCGGAAGCTAAGAGAAAAATACGAGTTATTTTTATGTCTTTGTATAGCATAGCTTGTACAAAAAATTGAAGGGGGTAAAGTTAGGCCAGATGATCCATTTTCCATTTCGAAACATCTATGATCTGTAACTATTTACACATTTTGGTATGGAATGATTGTACGTTATTGTATATTTGAAGGTAGATGTCAATATGTTTGTAAGATTTTCGGACCTAAACGGTTGATGGCCATCAGAAAAATATAAAAATGCAGACAATAGATATAAAGGAGTGAAAAAAGTATAAAAATAGTTGTTTAAAAACTGATAGCAAACCTCTTTGATGTATTTGAATGACGAAATTGAGAAATAATGCATGACAAAATATGCCCTTTCTGTTTTCATAACATACAGGGGGTACCATAACTTGAAAAGCAAAATATTGAACTTGTGGGAACAAACGTTATTTTCAATTCAGTTGTATAATTTGGCTCAAATAAGTATATAAACATCCTACTGATGACAAACTATATAAATGTATGTATATGTATTTAAAGATATACATATAGAACCACAGTTGTCGATAAACGAACAAACAAACAAATGGGTGAAGTGGAGTCTTTTGTCCACCAAATTGTTGTTTTGGAATATTAACCTTGAACGAAAGTTGAAATTAAGATAACACTTGCTCGTATCAACTAATTTACCAGACTTGTGGTTGTTGCACATAGCAGGAGGTTCAATTTAAAGAGACCTGATTAAGAATTAACTTGTCAAGGTAAAGGTGGCAATATCTACATCTGAATGGGCACTTATATCTACAAATACTTCTGTAAACCCTGCTGATTAAATGTATGGATGTTGAACTGAATCCAGGTCCACTCCAGAATGCAGAAATAGTTCAAATTAATGTTAGATCCCTAAGAAATAAAATAGATGTTATTGAAGCACAGCTACATGATAGTGACATAGTATCTTTAACTGAATCACACCTTAATTCTGATATTAAATTAGAATCATTCTCAGATGAAATCCATAGGAAAGATAGGACAACCGGGCATGGTGGTGGTGTTATTATCTTTCATAAAAACAATATTCTTACTAAACGTATACATGATCTTAAAAATAAACATATAGAAATGATTTGGATAGAAGTTTTAATTCAAAACCATAAATTTCTGCTTGGATGCATCTATAGGATTGATTCTAATATAGAATACTGGAGTAAATTTGAACGAATCCTTGATAAAGCTAGTGAAACTTCCATGGATATACTAATTACTGGTGACTTAAATGTTGATACATGCTAAGAACCCCACCCACTTCTCACTTATCTAGACTCTTAACTAAATTTAACCTGAAAAATATTATTAATAAACCTACTAGAAACCTGATAGTGCAACCTTTTTAGATATTGTCTTTACAAACAATCCTTCCATAGTGAAAAATACACAGGTTGACCCTGCTTTCTGTAGTGACCACTCCCCGATATATATGGAGGTTTGTTATACTATCTTAAAACATAAAGCATATAAAAAAAAACCTGTATGGATGTATAACAATACTGACTATAATATTATGAATGACGAACAAAAATGTTATTGACTGGAACTTAATTGCTGCTGATATGGATACCCATGAATTTAGTATGTGTTTAACTAAATCTATAACTAACCTGAATATATTCCTAGTAAAACTATTAAAACCCGACCTGATGACAAGCCATGGATGAATACCAATATTAGGCTAAATATGAAGCAAAGTAATAGGATACATAAGAAAGCCAGACATACTGACAAAATAGAGCATTGGAATAAATATAAACAAATAAGGAATGATGTTAGTAATCTGGTAAGAGACGCAAAACATAATTATCTCGATAAACTTCAAAAGTCTCTAAGTGATAAATCACTGCCCCCTAATAAATGGTGGAAAATTGCTAAATCCATAACTAATTTTAACAATAAAACTGAACCAATTCCACAATTGAATGTTAGTAATAGACTGATTCAACATCCAACTGATAAAGCTGAAGCCCTTAATGAATATTTTACTTCTATAGCCACAACATCAGATACACTTGCTGAATCTCCAGTATTAGATATCTCCACTCTATCAAAATTAGAAAACATAATAGTCTCTGACCAAGATGTTGATGATCAAATTACTATATTAAAGGAAAATAAACCAGCAGGACCTAAAGTCATAAAAAAGTTAAAACCTTCCTTAATACTCCCACTTACAATTTTATTTAACAAAACTATATCTAACGGGTGCATACCTGGGCCATGGAAGATGGCTAATATTAGTGCTGTATACAAAGGGAATAGTTCAAAAAATAATTATTCCAATTATCAACCAATATCTGTAACATCATGTTTTAGTAAAAATTTTATATTCAAATATTTATATAACTATTTAACAACTAATAATATACTTTCCAAGGACCAATCAGGCTTTAAACCAGGTGATTCAACAGTAAACCAACCTCCCTGTATATACCACACCATAATTAGCAACCTGGATAAAGGGAAAGAATCAGTTTGTATTTTGCGACATCAGCAAGGCTTTTGATAGAGTTTGGCACAAAGGGTTACTACATAAACTAAAAGCATATGGTATATCAGGTAATGTTCTTAAAAAATTATTAGAATATCATTCATTATTCATAACCCAGAAAATGATAGGTATACTCTAAGAAATGTAAGAATGTTTAACCCACCACTATATCGTACAGAATCCTATGCTAAAAGCTTCTTCCCAGTAATGTGCAACAAGTTCAATGGACTTGAAAATGATACAGTACATTCCCCTACTCTTAATAAATTTTAGGCCAAGGTGTGTAATGCAATATGTTTTAATAATAATATCTCTGATGTATTTAAAAATTATGAAAGCAGAAAGGGTAACATAATCTTATGTCAACTGAGAAATGAGGCGAGTAACCTGAACTATGATCTGTTCAAAGATCACTTGAAAGAGTATCCATCTTGTCTGTGTGGTGATGATTATGAAACTGCTACCCGTTATCTTTTACAATGTCCAATGGATACTGATGAGAGACAAACTTTAATAAATGAGATTTAATCTTGATACTAAAATACTTCTTAATGGAAGCACTATGTTAAACAATACTTAAAATAAATCTATACTTGATAGTGTTCTTAAATATATATACAACACAAGAAGACTTGTTTAATTAATCAAAACAATCTATAAATTTTGTTATATATAGTCATAATT